AGAAATTAGAAAGCAAAGGAAAAGCAAGATAACTACAAACACACAAAAAAGATAGTGGAAATAAATGAAAATATGTTTATAATCACAATTTTAACAAATGAACTAACCCTGGTGCCAGCCCAGGGCCCAGTAGTTAAGTTCGTGTGCTCCACTTCAGCAGCACTGGGTTTGCAGGTTCCGATCCTGGGCGTGAACCTACACACCGCTTATCAAGCCATGCTGTGGCAGGTGTCCTACATATGAAATAGAGGAAGATGGGCACAGATGTTAGCTCAGGGCCGATCTTCCTCAGCAAAAAGAGGATTGGCAGCAGATGTTTCCTCAGGGTTAATCTTCCTCAAAAAAAAAGAAAAAGGACTAACCTTCCCATTTAAGTCTCAGGTATTTTTTTAATCCAGTTATTTTCTATGTAAACAGGACTGACTGAAATATAATGACACAGACATGTTGAAAGTAAAGTGATGTAAAAAGTGGCAAATATGAAAAGAAAACAGCTACGTTATATTAATATCAGATAAAATAGACTTTAAAACAAAAACATTATTAAGATTGAAAGGGTCAATACATAATGATAAAAGAAACAATTAACTGGAAAGAGGAAACAGTCCTGAACTTGTATACACCTGACACTATAGCCTTAAAATATGAAAAGCAAAACTCGATAGATTTAAAAGGAAAAATGGATAAATCCATATTTGTAGTAGATTTTTAATATACTTCCCTTGGCTATTGATAGACAGAGCAGTCCAAAATTTAGTAAGAGTATCAAAAACTTGAGCAGTGATTTAATGGAGATAGATGAATGGATAGATAGTAGAAAGGAAGGATATATAAAGTATATTAACCCAACAATTACTTTCCTTTCACGCATACGTGGAACACGTACAAAACTTGACCATACACTACAGTTGAAAACAAATTTCAATTTATACCATATACCAGGTCAAAAGCAAATGTCATTTTACACACAGCATATTTTCTACCCACAATTCAATAAAATTAGAAATTAGTAACAAAGTGATAACCAATGCCCCATTAATTTAGAAATATTTAAGAAAATCTCCAAATAATATCACTCACAAAAATCATAAGATCATTAGAAAATGTTTAGAACTAAATGCCAATGAAAACTCTACATGCCAAAACTATGCTTGCACCTAAAACAGAAGATGTACTTAGAGGGAAATGTATAGCTTTACGGGCATATACCATTAGATGGAAAGAGGAAAAGCTAGTGAGTTAAGAGTCTAAATGAAGAAGATGAAAAAAAGAAAAACTGAGTAAACAAAACAAAGATAAAAATAAATCTAGGAAGGAAAGAAATATATTTATATCAACTTCAGAAAAAAGTTACTTATCTCTGGGAGAGAGAAGAGACTGAAATAGAGCCAGCCACATATGTAGCATTTTATTTCTTTGGGCAAAAAAAAAAAAAAAAACAACTTTGTGTCTTAATATTAGTTTATTTTTTGTAACAACTTTATTGAAATATTATCACATACCATACAATTCACTCATTTGAGGTGTACACTTCACTGATTTTTAGTATATTCAGAGTTGTGCAACCATCACCACAATCAATTTTAGAACATTTTCATCACCTCAAAAAGAAACCCCCCACACTTTAGCTGTCATCTCCAAGACCTCCATCCTTTTGAGCCCTAAGCAACACTAATCTGCTGTCTTTATAGATTTGCCTATTCAGGACCTTTCATATAAATGGAATCATAAAATATATGTTCTTTCATGACTGGATTTTTTTCCTTAGCGTAAATTTTTCAAGGCTCATCCAGGTTGTGGGATATATCAGTGCTTCATTCCTTTTCATGGCTAAATAATATTTCATTGTATGAATATGCTAGGTTTCATTCATTCATTATTTGATGGAGATTTGAATCATTTACATTTAGGGCTCTTATGAATAATACTGCTGCAGATATTTGTGTGGACATATGTTTTCATTTCTCTGATACCTAGGAGTAGAATTGCTGAGTCAAATAGAAATTCCATGGTTAACTTTTTGAGGAACTTCCTGACTGTTTTCCATAGTGGTTGCACCATTTTATATTTCCACCAGCACTGTATGAGGGTTTTGATTTATCTATATCCTTGCTAACACTTGTTATTATCTGACTTTTTGATTATAGCCATATTATTTGGTGTAAAGTGGTATATCACTGTGGTTTTGATTTGCATTCCCTGATGATATCATGTTTTCAATCACTTATTAGGCATTTATCTTCTTTGGAGAAATATCTATTCAGATCCTTTGGCCATTTTTTAATTGGGTTATTTGTCATTTTTATTAGTGAGTTGTAAGAGTTCTTTATATATTCTAGATACAAGTCACTTATCAGATAAATGATTTCCAAGTATTTTCTCCCATTTTATGGGTTGTCTTTTCACTTTCTTGATAGTGTCTTTGAAATACAAAAGTTTTTAATATTGATGAGGTCTAGTTATTTTTTTCTTTTGTTGCTTATGCTTTTGATGTCTTATCTATAAGAATCCAAGGCCAAATCCAAAGTCACAAAGATTTACCCGTATGTTTGCCTGTATGTTTTCTTCTGAGAGTTTTATAGTTTTGGCTCTTCCATTCAGGTCTTTGATTGGTTTTGAGTAAATTTTTGTTTCCGTGGTGTGAGGTTAACAGCTCTACCATTTGACATCCCCCCAGAAATGTGCAAGGGTTCCAGTTGTTCCACAGCCTTACCAACACTTGTTGGTTCTGTTTTTTTAATTGTGGCCATCCTAATGGGTGTGAAGTGGTAGCTTGTTGTGGTTTGGGTTTGCGTTTCCCTAATGATTGGTGTTGTTGAGCATCTTTTCATGTGCCTATTGGCTATTTGTATATCTTCTTTCGAGAAATGTCTATTCAAGTCCTTTGCTCACTTTTTAATTGGGTTGTTTATTTTTGTGTTGTTGGGTTGTAAGAGTTCTTTATATATTTTGGATATCAATCTTTATCAGATATATGATTTGCAAATATTTTCTCCCATTGTGTGGGTTGCCTTTTACTCTGTTAATAGTGTCCTTTGATGCACAAAACATTTTTATCTTGAAGAAAGTCCAGCTTATCTATTTTTTTCTTTTTGCCTGTGCTTTTGGTGTCATATCCAAGAAATCATTGCCAAATCCTGCTACCAATTTCTAAACACTCAGTGTGGTGGTGTTTAAACTACTCAGTGAATGATTTAAAGAATTTTGAAGTAAGTTATTTCTATTCAACAATTTACATTTATAATTATGGAAGATTTTCATAATTATCCATTCAATCCCAAACTTCTTCTGAATCTTTCTTTCCCTGATTACTGCCAAATGCATTCAATTGTAGATTGAAAGCATGGAAATAGCAGATTATATTATGATACAATTGTTCCCCATGAGGGATAGTGATCAAAATTATTGCCAAGTGCCTTTATTAGGAAAAGAAAATTCTTAACTGATTAAAGACTATGGATATTATATATCAACTATTAAATGGGTTTTCAAGTTTTCTGCTTCATTTTAAAAAATATTTCAGCACATATAATAAAGTTCTAAAACTTCAAAGACATTTTGCATTCTGAAAAGGGTTCCTTGTGGTTGTAATGTTCATTTGAAATTCAAATAACTCCTTGGAATTTGAAGCTAGCTGGAAGTTATGTACTGTAGAAGAAGGGGCGGGGGAAGATTCTTTATATCACTGCTAATTTATACTACCAGAAGATATTATAGCTTTGTATCTAGATAAGAGAAGGAAATGCATCTTTTGAAATCATCAAATAATACATGTGATACCTATAGTAAACATCTTGGGCAATGTGTAAGAACTTCTCTTTTAACCTTTGCAGTTCTTGTTTTAAAACATATATTTTTCAAGCAAGTATTTTTTAAGGCCCTAATTTTGTATGGTAGATGTAGAAGACCCGATAGACACCTAAGACGTAGTTCTCTTCCCTTAAAGAATTTACCATCTATTTATAGAACATAATGATACACATAACAGTATAAGAGAAGAAATAAGGGATTTCACCATTTATAGTCTGAGAAAGTAAAGATGGACTCTGGTGGTCTGAGAAGGTCCCAAGGAAGTAGACCTCAGCAGGACAGGAACATGACTGAGATAGGCTGAGGGAAGGAGCTGCTCTCCCTAGGTGAGAAGAGTGACATGAGAAAAAGTATGACTTGTGACTGGAGAATGTCGTGTGCCAGGTACCTGAGGTAGAGGGAGCACATTAAGTGTGCTGTGGACAATTCGATGGTCAGGATGAGGACAGATTTATGGGGAACTGGTATGGTAGTTTTATATTTGATGTAGTTGACTGTAGAGAGACATTGTGGGTTCTTGACCAGGGGAATGGTGGGAAAATTTAGTCTGTCTCCAATGGAGATCATAGAGCTTTAGAGGTAAAGGGATTTCTGGAAACATCTGATCCAACATCTGTGTTTACTGAGGCCAGGGAGCTGAAGTAACTTGCTCAAGGTGACCCATTAGATAATAGCAGATCTGAATCTCAGATTCATCCTTTCACTCCAAGACCAATGATCTTTCTTTCTTACCACGGTACTCCAGAATATAGTAAGAGAAAGGAAAGAAGGAGACTAGATGGGAGAAAATTATGTAGTCCATACTTGACGCAATGAACACCCCAGTGAAAGGGCTTGCTGAGGAAAATGGACAGAAAGGATAAATAAGAAGCATCTTAGTGGGAAAAAGTGAGAACCTGATGACTAATTTCTTTATTTTAGTGAATGAGGCAAATATCTAGAGACTTCAGTAAAGGACTGAGCTAGTTCTAAAAAATAATATTTGACTGAAGTGAAAAATTAATCCTAATAAAATCATTAATCATATTCCTAATGACTCTGGCACTTGGGTGCTAAGTAAATATTTGCTGAATGAATAAAACGAATGAATGTATCACTTAAATTTTTTGTTGTTGTTTTGTTTTTATTTCAGTAAATACCTTACAAGTGCTATTTAAAGTACCATATAAAGAAAACATTTTCTTTTACAGATTCACCTTCTTGGAGTTTTGCTGTCCATTTTAGGAAATTTGGTAATCAGCATTTCCCTAAATATTCAGGTAAGAAGAAGCGTATTTTTTGAACTCTGTAGTTTGATCCAGGGGCACATTATGACTTTCATGGGCCTCGGGCCCTTTTGCTTTCTTGGACTCCTTCCTCCATAAAAAATATTTAAAAATTATATTTTATGACCTCATTGGTATAAAGAGAAATATAATCCAGACTGGATCACATTCACTTTTTCTTCTTCTTCTTCTGATTTTAAAAGAAATTGAATGTTTATGTGGGCCTCTTAATAGTATTGTGTACTCTAAGACAAAGTATCTAGGTGGCTTATGAATTTGTACCACACTTAGAAAGAGGTTTATAACCTTGGCACAAGCCAAGAATTTTTTTAATGTTCTATATTTTCTTCTAGTACTTTTGTTATTTTCTTTAAAAAAATTTTTTTAAGTAATCTAGAATTATACATCTTATAAGGAAGGAAGTTAGGTTATCATAAAGTCAATAAGGAAATAGGGCTTGTTTTAATAGCCAGTTTCCAGGAATTTATATGTTTCAAATACAAAGAAATACTCAAACCAGATATAAATAAGAGTCCCCCCACCCCTAACCGCAGCTACCAAAGCATTCTGACCTGCTGTGTTTATTGTGGTAGCTACTTTGACTCATAAATGTGAATCCCTTTTCAAAAGGCTTTTCTGGGGCTGGCCCTGTGACCTAGTAGTTAAGTTTAGAGCACTCCGGCTTCGGCAGCCCGGGGTTCAGTTCCCAGGTGCGGACCTACACCACTCATCAGCAGCTGTTCTGAGGCAGCAACTCACATACAAAATAGAGAAAGATTGGCACAGATGTTAGCTTAGGGTGAATCTTCCTTAGCAAAAATTAAAAAACGAAAGGATTTTTCTTTAGTAATTTATTATTTTTATTTCATTAACATTTATTTTGGCATCTGAACTTTTTTGACATTCTAAAAGAAGTGTTCTGGTGTAGTGGACTAAAAAATCACTTAACTCCTGGGGCTGGCCCCGTGGCCGAGTGGTTAAGTTCTCGCGCTCTGCTGCAGGTGGCCCAGTGTTTCGTCGGTTTGAATCCTGGACGCAGACATGGCACCACTCATCAAGCCATGCTGAGGCAGCGTCCCATATGGCACAACTAGAAGGACGTACAACTATGTACCGGGGGGCTTTGGGGAGAAAAAGGAAAAAAATAAAGTCTTTAAAAAAAATAATCACTTAACTCCTTAACACACACCTCATCTTTAAATAGTAATAATAATAGTTTACAGAGTTGTTGTGAGAGTTAAGCCACATTCATATGTGAGAAGGCCCTTTCAACTATAAAATGCTATATCAGTGTGAGTTGCTTTTGCTGTTAATACGTTTGGAACAAACAGAACACCATAATAGGTTGCTCTGTAATAATCTGCAAATACATTTAAAAGCCATGATACAAATTTATAGGACCAAAAATTTTGAGGCAAGTTTTAATTGGGTAGAAATATTTTCTTATTTATATTCTGATTTACTTCCAGAAATATTCTCATCTTCAGTTGGCGCACCAAGAACACCCAAGGCCGTACTTCAAGAGCATGTTGTGGTGGGCTGGGGTGGTGCTGATGGCCGTGGGAGAGACAGGAAACTTTGCAGCCTATGGATTTGCCCCTATTACTCTCATTGCTCCATTAGGTTGTATGTCTGTTACAGGTGAGCCATTTTTCTGTGTTTTGACAAAAAGAAATTTTAAGAAATCAGAAGAGTTGGTGAAAAACATACAACTTAAACAACACATGCACAAAAGAAGAAGTCTATTTCTTGTTTTCTTAGCATGTTAACTTGAAACAATTATACTACTGATTTAGTTATCTGCAGTCATGCTGCCACATTAACCATGAAGAGTCTTGCATTTTGTATCTAAAACACGTATGTTTAAGAGCCCGATTCCCGGTGTTTGAGTCATATAAATTAACAGTAAGAGCAAATGTTATACTGTGCTTTTTAATCATTAATGAATTATCTAAAAGCATTTGTAGTACAATATTATATTTTATTCATATGTTAAACTGACATTACATGTAGTTAAAGGCTTTGATGCCCAATCTTGACTCCATAGTTTAGCATCTCTTTTACATTAAGAATTAAATAGGGGGCCGGCTCTGTGGCCCAGTGGTTAAGTTCATGCGCTCCGCTGTGGTGGCCCAGGGTTCAGATCCTGGGCGCGGACATGACACCGCTCCTCAGGCCATGTTGAGGTGGCGTCCCACATCCCACAACTAGAAGGACCTGCAACTAGGATATACAACTATGTACCGGAGTGGTGGGGGGGTGGGGGTTGGGAAATAAAGCAGAAAAAAAGAAGATTGGCAACAGTTGTTAGCCCAGGTGCCAATCCTTAAAAAAAAAAGAATTAAATATTGGTTATTCTACATTACTATAAGAATATGTAATTTTACAGTAATGTCACAATTATCCTACTTTCAAAACATATATAATTTACTAAATTCATTTAGAAGAGAGAATATGAGATGTTGCTAAAGACTAAAAAAAAGAAAAATCACTGCTAAAAAGGAGAACAAACTCTCAAAACCTCGTTAAAATCAATAAAATCTTTCTAGTTTTACTCTTTGTCTGCTGCTATGGAAACAGAATGTTTCCAAGTTTCTGTGAATTTGGAACCTTCATTGAAATAGAACCAAGTTGATGGTTATTGTCTGGTAACAACTAGATCAAACGTAATGTGCTCACATATCCCAATTTTAATATTTTTCCTAAAAAATTATATGCTATTCTTTTTTTTTTTGGAGGAAGATTAGCCCTGAGCTAACATCTGCTGCCAATCCTCCTCTTTTTGCTGAGGAAGACTGGCCCTGAGCTAATATCCGTGCCCATCTTCCTCTACTTTATATGTGGGATGCCTACCACAGCATGGCTTGCCAAGCAGTGCCATGTCCACACCTGGGATCCAAACCAGCGAACCCTGGGCCGCTGAAGCGGGACGTTTGCACTTAACTGCTGTGCCACCAGGCCAGCCCCCAAAATTATATGATATTCTTAACGAAAGCATAGTTTAAACTGAAATAATGCATATTCAAAGAGAATTTTATTTTGAAAGTAGTTTCCCCTTCTTAATCATTTAACATATTTTATTTGAAATACTTTCATGATGTATAATAGTAGAATATTTAGCAAAGAACACTTTTTTAGCTTTCTAGAATTGGTTCAGTAAAAATCGCCATACTGTTACTACTCTGAATAGGCACACAATTTATGTAATCATTTACTATTTTTAACACTCCAATAAAATGAGCAATTTGAGTATATCTTATCTTCTATTTATTACACATACCACGTACATGGATATTCTGGATGCTTTTTCCCCTCCCCAAAGTTCCAGTGCATGGTTGTGTATTCTAGTTGTAAGTCCTTCTAGCTCTTCTATGTGAGCCACCGCCATAGGATGGCAGCTGACAGATGGGTGGTGTGGTTCCATGACCAGGAAATGAACCCAGGCCACTGAAGCAGTGAAAGTGCCAAACTTTAACCACTAGGCCATCAGGACTGGCTCTGGATTTTTTTTTCTTCTCAAAATCTGAGAAGTAACAGATAAAAGATCTAGTTATATTGTCAACTTGGGACCTCTATAGGTCCCAATTGTTCTGAAAATGTTGTCTTATTCTTCATAATGGCTGTATATTTAGAGCTTATCTTTAGTTTTGTTTCCTATTATGCTTTATGCTCCATTTCCATGAAATAATCAAAGAAAAAATTGTCCAAATGTGTCAAACAGATACCTAGGGGAGGGCTGAGTGCACCACATTGTGTTGAAATTCTCCATTTATCTCCAGTCTCCCGGGCCTGGGAAATCTTTTTTCTGGGAACAAGAGAAAGAGAGCTACCCAGCTAGCTCAAAGAAAAGGGGATATGTCTGTATTTATTTAAAGATCAGAGATTTCACAGAAATGAAATATAGCCAGGCCCCATGGGACATGACGTGAGACTTCAGAAGTTGCCAGAGATTAAGGGCCAGCATTGACACCCCTTGCAGAACTTCAGTGAAGCTGCCTGTGAAGCTGCTCCCCTTGGTGTGACTTGCTTGAAGCTCTCATTCATAGTGGGAAGCTTAAGTTTTCCCACCTTCCCCTCAGAAAGTGTCCTGTCCTTCCCAAGTCCCCTGTGGGGCCAGTCTACCCACCTTTAAGCTCTGAGCCCACTGCCCTGACAGATGGGCTTTACTTAACATTTCAACTTTATAACATTTTTAGCAACCTCCCTCTCTGCACGTTTAAAGTGATTCAAAGAAGTAAACTTACAGCCTGAAACACACAGCATTTCCTACTTTACAATCTCTGCAAGCAGTCGTACATGCTCATAAATAATATTCCCATAGCACTCCTCAGCTAAATTTAGGTACTGGCGAATGTAGGTGGCTTAGGGACCACTGGCGATTGAGGATTTTCCCCAGAACAAACCCCTACCACCCTGAGATTCTTTATAAAGATTCTAGAAACTCTAGAGAACTTGAAGCAAAGGGGAAAGTATTTTTAAAACAGAGGTATCATATGGCTATGTCTACAGATGAGGCAGAAGAGCGTCCGCACTTTTCTATGCTGGAACTTTTCTTTCCCTATTATTTCTTGGGAGCCTCAAGAAAGAAATCAAACCTCCCTTTGAATTAAAAAAAAAAGGAAGATAATGTCTGCTGCGGTGTTGCATGGGAGATTGCATATTCTTTTCCGGCTTTTCTTCTGTTGTTTGTTGCTTTTCAAAGAAGAAAAAAAAGAAGATTAAAATCCAGAACACTTGAAAACACTTTAGGGGCCCGGCCAGGTGGCGCATCAGTTAAGTTTACATGTTCTGCTTCAGCGGCCTGGGGTTCGCTGGTTGGGATCCCTGGTGCGGACATGGCACCGCTTGGCACACCATGCTGTGGTAGGCGTCCCACATATAAAGTAGAGGAAGATGGGCACAGTTGTTAGCTCAGGGCCAGTCTTCCTCAGCAAAAAGAGGACGATTGGCAGCAGTTAGCACAGGGCTAATCTTCCAGAAAAACAACAACAACAACAACACCAAAAAACACTTTAGCTCTTAAGTCCAAGTGAAGGGTACTTTCTTCCATCTTCCCCACTCCTTAGGAGGTACTGTGTGGGTAATCGTGTGTACGACTCGTACTACACACAAGACTACTACTATGTCAGACCTGCCTGTTTGTCTTACAAAATTCCTGCTCCCTTTGTACACTTTAATTGAACAGATTTTTTTTTAAGGACTAGTATGTAAGAAGTGCTGTGGTAAGCATATGGATATTTCAGTTTGTACTCTACCCAGATTCCCGCCTCAAATCATCTTCCTTTGATCCTTTCTTTCCCTCTCTCTGTGTGTCCTCCTGCTCCCCACTGACATGCTCACCTTGAGGCAGCGTTTCTCAAGCACTGGTGATTTCACAGGTATTCTAAGAAACAAAGAATTCCATAATTAAACAAGTTTCTCAAATACTAGATTTTAAAAGTTGCACAGGTTTCATTGGTGTAGGGCTTTTTGGGCCCTGGGATGGCCCATGCCACTGTCAATCTTGCAGAGGCAGAGGCAGAGGCAGTAGGCCAGGTTTCCCACCTATTGACCACAAGATGCTTTTGATATGAAGCATCTCAAGGGACAACAGTTCTGCAGAAAACACTTTAGGAAATGCTCAAGGCAATGCTCACAAGCAGCCACAGCATCCCAGAAACTCAGGATAGATAACTCACCTGTGCCTGGCAGCAGAGATTGGATAATGGGAAATAATCCTGGTGCATAGGCAGGTCTGACTGCCTAGCCTGGGTCCAGCTTTTTGAGAGAGACTGTCAGAGCCCTAGTATCCTTGTGTCATCTTGTACTTTTACCCTACATTTCTCACCGAAGGTCTTTCTCAACAAATATAGGTCCAAAACCTTATTCTGACTAATACGCTAATTGTACTGGCAGTATGGCTAATTCTAGTTGTTGACTTGTGTTTGTGTTTCCGTTAATTAAGAAAGTTTAAAGGATGGTTTTTCAGTTTCACCTAGAGCCTCGGCTGGATACTTGCCCCAGTATGACAGGGCAGTAGAATGGTCAAGAGTACCAGCTGTAGGGCTACCCTGCCAGGGTTCAAATCCCAGTCCTGCCACTGGAAAGCTCTGTGGCCTCGGGCAGCTTGTTTAGGCTTGTTTATGTCTCAGATTCCTAATCTGTAAAATGGGGATAAAAATAGTTCCTACCTCAGAGGTTGTTGTGGGGAAGAATTAAGTAAACACAAACACCTAAGAACACTATTGGACGCCTAGTACAGTATTTCACACAGTGACAACACTAGCAATTCTCACTGTGACTTATTATTATTATTACGCACAAATAAAGCACACAAGGTTTACTTCCATGCTTCGAAGATGGCTGATGGTTAAATTCTCTAAAATGGATGAACCAATTTAGGAGATGCTTTTAATTGTTCTTATCCATGTAATGGTTAATTTTCAGGTAACAGAAAAATATGATGCACACAGCTCATTTGTTCAGGCGTTAAGCAGCAATTGCCCTTTGACTCCCCTACATATTTCCTACCAAAACATGTTGGAAAATACCAGAATTTCCAAATAACCCACCAAGACAAAATACATGTAAAAAACAGACATAGAAGGTTGTTAGAGGAAAAACATAGCAGTCTGAGATGTGTGTGCAACTTTCTGTCTTCTTGCTCTGGCTTCATAGCACTCTTGTTCACTTGCTAATTAAGTTCAGAGAGGCTGAAGGGCAGGTTTCTTTCAGGTCTAACTGCAATTTGAGAATGTATTTTCTGAGAAACTTATTTATTATACCAGAAATCTAGTAAAAAAAGAAATGTTAGATATTGTGTGGAGTTTGTAGTAAAATTTTAAATTACTGCTAATTCTTCCTGTCCCAGGTAAACACTCTTCCTCAGGAGGCCTATCTTGGTTCCTAGACTAAATTAAACATGCTGTTCTCTGCTCCCTTAGCACTCTGCATGGGCCCTCCTCTCGTCTGTGTGGTGCCTTTTTGTGAATTAGGAAAAGCAAACCTTTCTCATGACACTTTATTTATGTCTGCCTGCAAATTATTGTAATACAATGATTTTATTAGAGCAGGACATTCTGGTTCCATCTGTCAGAAAATTGTCCTGAGATATACAAAGATATACTAAGATGTGGGAGGTGCCCCTCAGATGTTGTGATTTTGTTCACTGCACAACCTGCTCAACCACACACAGCAGCCCTGACCCTACGTTTCCCCTTCAGCATCTCTCATAATGCTCACAATGACCTGTTTAATGTCCATACTCACCATTCAACTGAGACCCAGGAGACTGGTGACTGTATGTGTCTGTTGCCTGCTGTCTGCTCTCTCTAGCCTTGTAGAGTTGGTTTGAATTTGAATTTTGATAAAACGAGGATAGGATGTTCTGTTCTAGAGTGTTGGAAGAGAAAAACTCTTGCTTAAAAGATTTCAATTCCTGGTGAAACACAATGGTTAAACATTTCAGAATTTGTGAATATTCGTTGTTGTAAATACTTAAAGATTTATAAGCCTGTCCTTTGAGGGTTGAGTTAGATTATTTTTGCATCTCCAAAGTGTGGCCTTACATTTAATGTTTTCCTTTCTCTGTTCATCCCCATGACTGTGATCTATGCTATGCCTAAGTCTTGAGGGGTGATTAAAAATAATGAAGTTATCAACACTCCAAAGAGTTGAAGCCGCATAGCATTGAGGATATTCATGGTAGACCTCACTGAGTATAAAATTAACTTGTCTTGGGCTCAAGGGAGTGGGATGTGAGGGAGATTGTTGCAGGGATAGGGAGAGTGGGGAAAACAGAGCATGACGGAGGCACCAACGACATCTTCCAGTTCTACACCTCTGAGTATATTGATTTAAAGTAATTAGAGAAGAGTTCAGAGGATATATCACCTTTTTCCAAGTTAAATTCAGGCAATACTTCAGAAATAGTTAAAGGTAAGAAACTAATATTGAATGAACCTCCACTCTGCCAGGTACTGTATGAGACACATAAACTGTCATTTTACTTAACTATTGCCCAGCTGAATACAAGTGAGAAATAAGTAGATTAAATTTGAGATGAATTATATGAGATCAAACACTTGGAATTTTATATGGAATAATAAAATTAATAGCAGCGAGGTCTCCTTGGCTCTGGGATAATTTCCTAAGAGAAGTAGTCATCCTGTTACTGGGCTAATTTGGATTAAGTTTGGAGAGCTTACTGCACTGAGAAAATGAGAGGAGAATGAGACATATGACTGATAAGTATTTTCCAGCTCTAATTTTCCCTGACATGCTGGCCTTTGCTCAAATTGAAATTCATGATGTGGAATATATGTTGTTTCTTGTATTTCTGTTGTGCTGTTACAAAGCTGTAAACTGAAATGTGTCTGTAATCCATTAAACGATGGTCATAATGTAGACAAAAAGCCCTGTTGAGGCCTTTTGAAATTCCAGGGAAGTCATCTGAAGCAAAAACTTTGGTCTCCAAGATTTTTATTAGAAACAAATGAAAGGAAACATAAACAGACCAATGAGCGAGTGACCTGCAGCATTACACAGACTTAGATGCTGTGAATTGTCTGTCCTTTAGAGCCCTGTGCCTGGTGCCAGCCTGGACGGGGTCACTGGGACTCTGAAGCCTCACAGGCTGCCTGTGAGAGGGACACTACACATGGACGCTTGTTTTAATGTTGGAAATATGTAGAAAATATCCCTTTTCTCAGTGGCTTGCTGGGTTGTCTGCTTTAGTACATCTGTCCCAGAACCAGCCTAAATTAAAATGAGTGGAATAAAACTCTGAAGTTTTCGTTTTATGTCTGCTTGTGCACTCTCAGCTGAAAGCATTCCTAAAACCTAAAAACTTTACTTGAACTGTCTTTTCCACCCATCCTTATTTTTTAAGAACACTGCACAGTATTTCTAGAGAAATTGCTAATGATGAAGTAATGCGTTATTACGTTTATAAGAGAGAGCTAATCTTGTCAATGATAGCGTTTTTACTTTTTTGGAATCTTTTCAAGTTTAATCACTAATGTGTGTCAAGAAACATGTAGAAAAGAAAGGATTATTGTTCTTAATCCAGGTACATTTCCTCATTTTAATTATGCAAATTACAGACTTTCTTCATTATCTTCAGTAAATGACAGTACCAATTTTTTTAAATTTAAGATGAATTACTCAACACTTTTATTCCTGCCAATGTGGATAGTAGGACTTTTCTCTCTGTAAAGAGACTTTTCTCAAAGTGTCGCATCCTCAGATCTTCAGATCCTCCCTCCACAGAGTCCGTTGTAATTGACATACTTTTTCCCTACAATTCTACAAATAGCAGGGAATGATCACTATGGAGAAGTCAGTGCCTCTAGATGTTTAGAGTTGATTGAGCCTGTGAGCACGCTCAGTGTGTCCACATGTTTGAAGCTTGATTGTGACTGACATGAAAGTGCGTTTGTGGTTTGCTTTTCAGCAGTACAATAAAGTTGCCATTATAAGTGGTCAGAAACCTCAAGCTAGATATTTACATGTGAGGATCCGTTTGTAGCATTATTATGTAAATATGTTCTTTTCATGTCATGGGTTATTTTTTTATAGAAGAGAGTTCTGTACTACTTTGTCTTCTACTTTCCTATACTATAAACGTACACCCTGGTTTCCCTTCATATCATAGAGGCTAAACAATAAATTGAATGTCCGGAAGTGAAAATTGATGACATTTTTATTTGCAGACTAGATCAGAGTTCACAAACTCTGGCCTTCAGACCAGTTCTAGGCACTGCTGTGTTTTGTTTAGCTCAAACAATCCTTTTAAAGAATATGAATTAATTTCCCATGTTTAAAAGTTAGACCATGACACACAAAAACTAGGTTTTTCTCTTAAAGAATCAAGTTTGATAGCACTGGACTCGCAGTTGGCTAGGGCTGAGTTACAGCTGCCACCTTTCACTAATCTGGTGTACTCCACTGCCCCTTACTGCGAGAGCCCACCACCCTCATCATCACAGCCCACCACCCCCCTTTGCCAAGCCTGCTGCTGGGGTTTTTCTTTTTTAGAGGATTTTCCTCTTTAGAGAATTACCTAGCTGGCCCCTGTAGGCATTTGAGTTTTGTGACTGTGGACCAAAGGGTTTTTTTCTTCTGAATCTGATAAGAATATCATATCCATAATTACATTTAAATAAAGTGTAATTGATTTTTTAAACTTTGGGTTAAATTTATCTAAGAAATGATCATAAAAGGGTAAAAAATGGGGAGAAGTAAATAAGTGTGAACAAAATTATTTTTTAAAAGCCATATCATAATGTATTACATAGTTATTGAACTCTCTTCTGTGCTGTTAAACTTTTGATAAAAAGCTATTATTTGGGGGGAAAGAGAATTTAAGTAAAAAGTACACATATATCATAATGTTTCAAATTGGAAAAGGGAATGCCAACTTACCTATTATTCTACAGACTTAAAAATCTAAATGGACATGTAAAAATCTACCCTTGAGTTTAACTGCTACCATGTAGAAAGTTGATGCTTAACTTCTGGTTTACTGATCCCCATTAGTAGCTATTACAGAAGAAAATCCAAATCAGGTTTGTACAACCTGTCTGAATTCCCATAGACCAGATTAATTTATACTTGTTTTTTTCTCTCATTTGTGGCCTGCCGTGAGTCTTAGAGCATCCACTCTTGACCATACTAAGCTAAGTAACTCTTCCATGATAACAGCGAGGTCTTGGACCAAGTCTAGGTGATGTCAGAGAGGAGGTGAATGATGAATAAACTTGAGGTTTATTCCTAAGTAAATCAGGGAGCGTTAGGAAGCTCAACACCAGGTCACATACGTACCTCTGGGACTGGCACCCTCCCCTACATTTAGACTTTGTTCAGCTGAAACCACTGGATTCTTGCTTGATCTTTATCTATTTTCATCTGGAAATCTGAACCAGAATGCCCATGTGTAATATTCTTTATGTCAACCGTGACCAGAAAGCATCTGCATGCTGATTGGTAACCGTAGTGACACTTAATGGCCAAAAAGAGAATAGATGACTCACTCATAGGAGTCAGTCCATTATAATTGTTGCTGAGATTCTTCATGACCATAAAGCGTTGGAACTTCAAGGCCAAGTGAATACATTAATAAACTACCCCATGGGAGCTCTATTTTTTACCAGAGAAAATACCAGAAGAAGCTTTTTTTGTCCATTTCCCTTACATATAGTATTCTTGCTATCTTTTTTTTTTTATTTCCATGACTCCTACATAACCACTGTTTGAATTTTAGTATATTATCTTTCACATGCTACCTTTCACGTTTTTTTTCTTAATGCATTATGGTCATTGTGGCCCAGCATCTGCCTTTAGAGTCTCTGTGTGATACTGTGTACTGAATTTAACCCCAGCATCTGCAAGCACTCCATGTAGACCCATGTCTGTGAGCTGTGTCTCTAGACCCGTGCCTGGGAGCATTCTGTGTAGACCCATGTCCTATGAAGGCCAGGATGTAATAGCATTCATGAACCTCTGCCCAAATATGCCTCAAGTCAAAAATGTACACAAAACTGTGAGTGCTGAAGTAAATGCTCAGAAGGAACTACAGTTTAATCATAGCTAGTACAAATCAGTTTAATTTACAAGTGTGCTCTGTTTCAATGCTTTTTAAACTATTGATCTTGAAATGCTCTTTCTATTTATGAATATTAAATTTTACTCTAGGAATAAAAGTGAAATAGTTTTCTCCCCTTTCTAGGTGTTCCTTAGACAACGGTTGTTGTTATAACAACAACTAGACAGTGTTGAGTTTGACAGATTGCACATGTGTTATGGATTGCATATCTCTGCACACATATTATGGGAGTACTTCAGTTTATTTTTTCTCATTTTAAAAATTTACTGCACTACTTAGAAGTTATGTTATTAGCTGTTGCTCAGATACCGTCTTTTTGCTCAGCACAGCTCTCATTCTAACCATGTTGTGCAAGATAAATGTTTCAAGTAAATGTATCTTAATAGAATGTTCTTTCTTATTATTTTGCTAGATAAATAAAACGAAAAATCTTCTATTTTCTTATCTAAAAATTTTGTTCTAAAAATCTCATGTTCTCTTAAAACAAAAAAATGAGTATGGAAGTGCGTTAGACATAAATTCTTTCAGATAGTAAAAGTAACATATTTATGTTTCATAAAACTGATAACTGTTTTATATCAATTGGTATAATTTTATACATATAGTATATTTCAAGCTTATTGTTACCAATGATATCCTTTTTGCTTTTAACAATGAAATTATCTCCTACATAACATTTTTTCCTCTTCCTTCTGAAAGTGAAGTTGTTTATGAAACTGTGGCTTAGCAACAAAAAAAGAATGAAAATGTTGCCTTTCTTATTTCAAGGGAGGCAATGGAGTGTAGTGTACTAAAAGGAGCTCTGGACTGGAACAAGGAAATATGAGTGCTGGTTCCAACTCTGCTATAAAATAAGTGTTTATTAGATGAACGCATCAGTCAATAAACAGACAACCTCTTTGGACCTCAGTTTCCCAAACGTAAAGTTAGGACCTTGAGTAGATTATCTCTATGTCTCCTACTAACTCTAAAATTTCCCTCATTCCACATAAGCATTGTCTCCCCTCTTACTGGAATCCTTTGCTGTCACACAGTTATCTCAAGGATTGTTATAATGGAATGCATTTGGTATATGTTAGCGTAGTGAAACTTCACCTATTTTTTATTGTTAATCTATCTCCCTCTGCTTGGAAACATTCCCTACCTAATTATGCAGAAAGTCAGTGATGGAGGTGGGAGTCGGGTCTTGGTTTTTATACCTTTTCTAATGCTCTAACATGTCATTCATTTCCCTGAATTATTTTGGTCCAAATTTGATATAGAAAATTTTTGTACATTTTTACACCTGTCCCAAACTCAATTATTAATGTAATAGACTACAAATCTATACTTTAGTTTATCTACAGAAAATATTGCTTTAATGTTTTAAAGCCACCCTACACCCTTAAATTCATGCTTCGCGGACATTTCTCATGTTCCATTTATTTTGTGTGAAATCTCTATTCCTGTAACTAACCCAACCAGGAAAAGTTTGCAAGGACATAGGTCAACTTGAATGAGAGAGAGCTAGGTTGAAAAAAAGATGGAGAAAACAAATGAGGATGCCATCTTATCTTGAATGAGGGTTTCTGGTGTGGATTTCTTATTTTGTTTTAGATCAATTGCCAGAACACCAGATATAGTTATATTCTAATTTAACTGATTTAATGGATTATTATACAGAGTCATTAAAATTATATCTATGAAGAATTTTTAATAACATGGCAAATCGTTTGTAATATAGTAACTGAGGAAACTGAGAAACGAAATTTTGCATTATGGTTTGATCTCAACTAAGGGAAATAAACACACTAACATATTAACTGCAATTTTCTCTAGATGATGAGATTATTTTATGGTGATTTTTCTTTCCTGTGTTCTTACTTTAAAAAACAAACTTGAAAACCCAGCTAATAATTATTGTTAAAAGTTGAAAATACAAATTATGTTGTGTATTTTTTTGTATTACTGCAAGATTGTATTTTCCCATGCCTCTACATATAGAAGAATGGCTTCATAAGAGGAGCAACTCAGAGAGATTCAACTTACCCCCACACTTCTGAGGCTATAGCAGCAGGCCATGGCTCAGTGATGAGGTTGAGAGTTCAGTAGCATCAATAATGGGAAAGAGAGTCTTAAACATCATGAAGGTCAGCAAATGTGGGACAGAGATCCCATAAACACTCTTTTATGTCCTAGGTACTAGCTACCCACTTCAGATTTTAGAAGAATAAGACATATCTCATAGTAAAAGGAATTGATAGTCTTTTAGGGGAGACAGGCAAATAAACCTCAGGTGTAATGAAAAAGCTGTATTACAAGGGGTAATCACACGTCAAAGAGGAGTGATAACTTGGCCTGGGGGAATCCGCAGGTGATACCTGAGTCTACAGTTGGTCATGAGGATGGAGGCAGAGTTGTAGAAGGAAAAGCACATACAAAAAGTCCTTTAGCATTAAACTCAATAGTGATTCTGGGAATTATGATTCTTTTAATAAGGGTGGGCATGAATATAAGAGATCAAGAACGAATGTGGCAAAGTGGCAGGAGCAAAATCATGACTGTCTTTGAATGTCATGCTCAGTAGTTTGGCCTTTGTCCTGTAGATGGCAAGAAGTCATTAAGAGAATTTAAAGCTGTGGATTTATATTAGATTTGCATTTTAGAAAGATTACTGTAGTGGTGGTATGGGGAAGGGAGAGTGAAATAGGAGGGCAGAGGAAGCTATAATGGTCTAAGCCTGAGGTGAAGCTGGCCTGAGCTGGGGCAGTGACAACAGAAGGAAGGAGGGGGTGGATTGAGAGAGTGTGAAATTCAGACTTAACAGACCCAGTAGCCTGTTGGATGTGTAGTGAGGGAGAGAGGAGACTAGGAGGAGTCCTAGGATTCTGGTGCTCCATAGGGTATCATTGCAATAGGGATTATAGGAGGAGATGATGGGAAATAATGAGCTTTAGTCTGGGATGTATTTAAAGTTCAGACTTCCTTCTTTCCCTCTTTTCTTTCCTTCCCTTCTGTCTCTTTTACCTTTCCATCCCTTCCTGTTCTTCCTACCTGTCTCCTTTCCTTTTTTTTTCTTTTTTTCCATTCATTCATTTAGTAAACTTTTATTAAGCCTTCACTATATACCAAGCGCTATCCCAGTCACTGTCCCAGGTCCATGGTAAACCTGGCCAATTTCCATGTATCCTCACCATGGTGGGGGGAAAAATCCTTTTTTGCAGCCACAACTGCTGGGTATCTCTAACTAGGACACAGCTAGTCAGGCATAAGACACAAACTGTTTAACTCCTTTCAAATGGCATTGCATAATATATGCTTTTATATTGGAAACACCACTAATGGCCATTTTCTTTCTAGGTAGTGCCTTTATTTCTGTTTTGTTTCTGAAAGAAAATTTGAGAGCCTCAGATTTACTAGGTAAGTACTTATTTAATTCATTTAATTATACCACTGTTTGGTCAGGAAATAAATAATACTGTCCATAAAAAATATGTACTTTAAAAATTGTAAAAGATTACTGAAGTGGATATAACCTCATTTAGAGGTGAACGTTATTCTGTCTTGGAGCTGCCATCTGCTATTCATGTGAAATACTTCCATTTTAATTGTGACCACTGCCCATGCTATTGACCACAGTAAATTATTATTTTACAGTATTATTATTATGAATGTTATGAAATTATTATAAGCATAATAAAATGCAAGAAAACATTTGTTACCTAATAGAGTATTCCACTTCAAAGGACATATTTGTTAGATTGTCGTATGAAAGTACTGCCTAAAAATGAAAACCACATACAATAATTAGATGCACCAATTAACTACTTAATTTGTATTTAGCTCTTTCCGAAAGTAACACTGGACATTGATTTCAAAATTTTATTTAGAAATACAGCTGTTAGTGGAAAATAACAGTAGTCTTCATAGCTGTGAGAAATATTTCTGTTATATAGCAAAGCCATCATATATTGATTGTATCTTCTACCTCTTATTAGAAATATCATTGGTGAGAAGAATTACAGAGATTCATATTTTCTTCCTTGATAAAATCCTGTCTGCATTGCTGCTGCCATATGATAATGAATACAATACTTGAGGCACTTTAAATAAAGTAATGTCTGCTTGCTTCCAAGGAGATCATATTTTTTTAAAACAATTTGAGCTTTAAATGTGACACCAGTGTTGGTGTGTTGAGCATTTGTTTTTCCTGATCATGTTTCCCATGAGCCTAGCGTCTTAAAAGTATTTTCACTTTTTCTTTTTCCTCCTTGGTTTGATTCTGTTAGTAGAGTTTTTAGTCAACATTGTCAAATTTTTCATGGTTAAAATGTCTTTCCAAATGCATTCATATGTAAATTGTATCTTTTCAAATATATTAATTTTCTATATTCTCTTCTTATATATTATGGTTTATGGAATCATTTGGGGAAGTTGTGTGGAATAGAAATAAGAATGAGCAGTGCCTGAGTTTTATAAATTAAGAAAATTAGGTCCTGCATTATTTTTCTCATTTATCAAGTGTCTTAAGGAAACTTTAAATTGTTTTATCTAACATATGTCATCTTTTGTAGTTAATGGTTGATTAATGTTTAAGTTAATCTAAGGTATCTAATGGGATAATACAAGTGGATATAAAGGGAGACTTGCTAGTTATCATGAACATTAGTGATAAAATATGATTAAGACAAAATTCCTGCCTTCAAATAATATATTGGATAATAAAATATATACATAATTTTTTTAAAGCAGAAAATAACATGTATCATAATACCTTGAGCCTTTAGTTTAGAACAGTTTCTCAGCCTCAGCACTACTGATATTTTAGGCTGGATAATTCTTCACTGTAGGGGGGCTGTCCTATGTGCTTTAGGGTGTTTGGCACCATCTCTGCTGGCCTTGACCCATTAGATGCCAGTGGCACCCTCTGTGCCAGCTATGACAACCAAAAATGGCTTCAAACATTGCCAAATATCCCTTGGCTGGGTAAAAATCACCCCCAGTTGAGAACTGTTGGTTTAGAATAAAGAGAGATTACTCTAGCTGGGAAGCTCAGAGAGAATTGTTTACAGCAGAGGTGATATTTGAATCAGTTCTGAGAGCTGGATAGGACAGTCATGGGCTACATCCAAGCATTTGGAGGAGGACATTCAGAGGGAATAACAAGAGAGGTATTAACAAAGGTGCAAAAAGGTAAGGTAAGTTTTTGTTTAATACTGTATTACAACTGCTGTCAGTAAAGATAAGGAAAAAATAAATAAAAGTCATAACTATGGAAAGGGAAGAAATAGAAGTATCAATATGTGCAGATGATTAGATTATATACTTAGGAAACTCAAGATCAACTAAATATTACTAAAAGCAATAAACTGACTCAACATCAAAGGCTATAAATTAAATTCACTCTGGTGGGTTCAAATCTGGATTCAACTTCTGCTATCAATTGTGTGGTCAACATAGTATTACTTAACTTCTCTAAGCCTCAGTTTGCTAACAAATACAAGACTGTTTTAAGGATCACATTGGATAATTCATATAAGCACTTTGGGAAATGTAAAGCCCTGTTAATATAATTGTCATCGTTTCTATGATGAACTTCATCCCCAAGAGGTAATACTAAACATGTAACATAAGGAATAGGAAACACACATGTACACACATAGCATAAAAAACAAACAAAATAAACCTCTATTAATCCTTTGATTCTTTGCTAATTTCTCTTATTTTAATAACAGCTAACACTTACTAAATATTTACACTTTCCAGGTACTATAAGTGTTTTACGTGAATTATCTCATCTAAATGTAGGAACAACCCATTTACAGAAGTGATTCTTAGAGAGGTTAAATAACTTGCCCAAGGTCATATAATTGGTAAGTGGTAGACCAGTATTCTAATAATGGCAGCCTGATGTAACTAGAGTATAGTGGTTGTGAATGAGTTCCTAGTGTCAGAGAGCTGTGTGACCTTTGAAAAGTTACTTAGGATATTTTTGCAAACTTTAGTAATCCAGGTAACATTTCTCACAACTCTGGTTGAGTTTTTTGCCTTCCTAACTTAATGCTTTTTGAGTAGGGCTATGTAAGACATGTCACATTTGTTTCATACTATAGTTAAAAGTGATCAATTCTTGACTTTCATCTAGAATCACAGGAATAAGAAAGAATTTAGTTACTTATTCCATACCCATGCCTCTGACAACAATATTATAAGATTATCATGATCTGAGATCTAATAACCCACTTCATACTTAGGGAAGGACTTTTCTCTAGCCTCACTCAGTAATGTGTTAAGTCACATACATTTTCTTTGGACCTGCATTGCTATTGCCTTGAGAAAATTTGGCTCTTTCTGTTAAAAGCTAAAAATGGGGTCTTTTTGGGTTTTTTTTACAAGGACTAAAACCAAACAGAGAAAAGAGTAGTCAGTGGTGTTTTTTAAAAGATTAACATATAAGCATGCTAAAAATTAAATTGTCAGAATGTGCAAAAGAAAATCATTAATTTTCCCCTGCTTCGAGCAAATGAAAGTTTGTTTTTCATGATGGAACAAATGAAGATTTTTGGGCCATGTGGAAACAAGCTGAACTAATTTATTGCCAAATGTTACTCTGTGGCTATGAAGCTTTTCACCACTAGCCTCAAAAAATGACCTCACAAAAACTATGTCTCAAAGGAATCGCCAACTATTATTAACTCAATGACAAGCTTTGGACTGTGCTCTGATTCTTAGTGGATTAATAACTTTAAATTATTTTAACAATTATTTTTCCCTTAAAAAAGCCCCAGATTTTTCTCCCCTTCAATCAGCCAAAAAGTATAGTATTTTCCCCTCGCTTCTCACTTAGTCATCAAAACTACTAAATCTAATAGTCTGTGAGATCCTGGCTGATTTAAGTCCAGATAGTGTCATCATAAAAACAAAAATTACAGTCAATTTATCAGCACTTTCCAGAGACCAGTAACTTGATTACTTCAAGTTGCTTATAAATGGCTTCCCCAGATAGAATGTCAGGAGATTAATAGTGAGATGAAGCCCATCTCCTTCCTTCCTTCTCCCACACCAGAGGTCAGCTTGGTTTGGGGCCAGTATCTAGAATACTAATCTAGCCAAACAAACGATCACTTCTGGTTGAGAGGACAGGTTGGCTATATTTATTTTAGTTTCAAAGCTCGCTCAAGAATAGGAGACTTTCTGATGGTAGGTTCAGGACTATTTGAATTCACTACATTATTGGGATTCCCAATCCAGGGCTCATCAGGATTTAGCTGCCATGAGCCTGAGGAATATAGAGAGATTGTACTGAGGGGAAGGCATCCCAAATGGTTTGGTTTTAAGGAGTCCAGTTTATTCTATGACTCCTGGTATCCCACAAAACAATAGCTGGATCCCCATTGATCAGGAGACATATTGCACAGACCAGGAGAATCAAACAGCCATCTTGGTTGGATTCAGGTTAGCTGAATATTAAAAAAACTCTTAAACCAACAGAAGTCAGGTCAAACCAGATTCCAGAAACTAGACAACAGGCAGTTAATGGTAGCTGGCATCCAGCTGTAGAGTGGGGAAAAAATTAAAGGAGATTTCAGGTTTTACTTAGGGTGGGCTGGGAAACGAGATGTTAGCTAAGGAAGAACTGTACAAGTGGATCTTAGAATCTAAGGCTTGCATAGGTGAGGAATTCAGCAGGTTAGAGGTGCCAGTGAACAGAAGCGTCAGAAGGAGCCCAATTCTAGGCTGTTTTCTCTTCAACCACTTTTATACTTCACTCTCAGTCCACAAGTGTCTATAGGAGACTTTTGCAACAGAACACCAGTACCCTCCTGAAACAAAGACTGCATTCTCACAGCTGGATCCCGTTAAACGTCAGCCATTTCCCAAAGTATAAAATATTCCTCAAAACACTATTTCAAGATGATGTAAATGGTCAAATATGTTTAGAAAATATTACAACCATATCCTCCTCTAGGACGTTCACAAATGAACACTAACACATTGAGGATCTGAGGGGTCTTCCAGTAAAAGAACTATTTAAGTTTGTTTAACTCACTTCTTTCCAAATAGATTTGACTTCAGACATTTTTTTGGTGGAGCATCTGTCTTATGAAACTGCTTCCAGGGAAGACCTGTTTGGATATGCTCTAAAGGAACCTCAGGACCAGTCAGGAACCCCAGGGACCACTACCAGGAGGAGTCAATTCCTTTTATCCCCAGTGGGGATGCTGCATCCAGCCGTAGGTTATGCTCTGTGCAGCTTCTGGGGTACCACTTGCTGATACTACAATGTGAATGACAGCCCTGAGTTGTCCATTCATTGGCCCTGGTCCTTTATGTAGACAAGAGGTGGGAGAGTGTAATCATTAAGAAAATAGACTACCTAGGTTCCAATTCAAGCTCTCCACTTAGCTAGAAAATCCCAGACAAGATAGTTATTCCCTCTGTGACTCAATTTGCTCATATGTCAAATGCAGATAGTAATACTTTAATAATATGCAATATTATATATTATGCATGTTATAGTAGTAATTATAAAAATTTATAATAGTATAATAACATAATAGTGTAGTTATTTTTCACAGGTTTATTGTAAAGATTAAGTTAGTTATGTAGAAAGCACTTAGAATTTTGCTTATAAGTATTAGCTATTACTATTGTAGTTATCATTATCATCACATTTTAGTATGATGGTGATCATAATGTAACTCTCACATCAGCCAAACTTGTCTATGAAATCACCAGTTCTAGGAACACCACTTCACAAAAAATGATTACCGTTCCTTGGCATGTGCCCTCCCGGTATACCTAATCTACTGTAAAGAGCATGGATGAGCTTGTTTACCTGTTTTGCACATATAACAAGTTTATGGGAAGAGATTTTATTAGTGTTTGTATATTGCATCAAGCTAAATCTGAAACTCCCACCAGATCATTGTAGACTTTTAAGTGAATTGAGTTGTATTTGATGAGAAAACATATTTGCTGCAGATCTGGGCATGAGAGTGGCAGATGGGATCACATCCTGTATCATGGGGCGTGTCCAGCATCCAGCTGTTGACTCCCACCCGCAGCTTACCCATAGTGCTGTCTGCTCCATCTTTGGTCCCCCCCAGCGTCCAGGTCTTGGTACCCTGTGCACCAGTTCCCTGGGGAGAGCAGTGCGTAGCAGACAGAGTACAGCTAGTGTTTCTTCTCTGTGTTCTGTCAGTTGGTTATTTCCTTTCTTCTGCCTTCTTTTAAGACCAATGGGAAGATGTCTTCATTAAGCAGTCAGAAGACACCTGCCAATTCCTTCTGTCTGGCCCTTCCATTCTCAAATTGGATTGTTTTCCCCTTAGAGACAGCCCCAGTGACCGTCCCTGATCATCCCTGGACTGTAATATTGGAGAAACAATTTTAGATTAATTTTTAAGCTTAACTCAGATGGCCTTTGACTCTTGGCAGTCAGCATCCTGAAGTGGATCTGTCCCGGGGTCCTCTGTCACATCAGGCCTCCAGATGAGCTTTCAAACATGTTCAGCAACCCAGACTGACCTCTGCAGAGCCAAATTCCTGGAGTCTAGAAGGTATGATAAGTTAATTTGTACCTAGAGAAGAGGAGACTGAGTCATAGAGGGATAAATAACTTCCCTGAGCTCTTCCAGCTAGCAAGTAGCAGTGAAATTTGAATTCTGTGAGGGCGATTTCAGCTTGGACTGACTTCCACGATCCAGGTCTTAACCTAAAATTTAACCATGTCCATGGGCAAAGAGCATGTCCATTGCTGCTTCCCTTCCTTTAGTTTCTTACACTTCCAGATTAGTCCTTTGGGCAAACAGGCCAGCAGAAGGTAACCTAGCAAGTTTTCTAAGTCAGAAATCTGTGTCTTTCAAAAGAAGGAGTATTTGTGGCTTTAATGAAATAAAAATAGCAGGACCTGACATCTCATGCCACTTTTAGAAAAGGTGGGATATAAATAAATTTTATTTATTTAAGGAACTGCTAATGTCTATCTTCAACACTTTTATACACTTATGAAAAATGTGCACGATTCATAAAGAAGATAGTAAATCACATAGAAATATATAATGACAGAAATAAACAAGCATATAACAGGTAGCAGCTATCCAAAACTGTCTTTGTAATTGTCTGAGGTAGCTGAAATTAAAACTATTAGGAAGAGAGAATGTGTAACTAGCTGAGCTGCCATAGAGTTGCTTACTAGACTCACAGTGATGAGGCTCAGATGAAAGAATACATGTGAAAAGCTATGTTGAAAGTATAATTGCAAAATCTTGAGTCATTTTATTTGTTTTTAAGGAGTTTTGAAATGCACTGGAGATCTACATTGGTAGAAATGGGTACAGTATGCACATATGAAAGCAGGTGTGAAACAGGGACTGTGTTGGAAACTTAAGTTAAATACTAAGGCTACTATTGTGCAGACCTAAAAAGAATGAGGGTGCTGTACATATACTGATTTGAAATGTTCTCCAGAGGTTCTGTTAAGTAGAAAAAAAATAAGATACTGAAAAGTTTGTGTAAAAGTAACCCAAACTCATGCACTCTCACATGCACATGCATAAAACGTCTTTGAAAAGAAAACCTCAAGAACTAGTGGCAGTGGTTAACTTTCAGGAGGGGAACCAGTGGGCCATAAGAGTATGAGAGAGATGTAACTTTCTACTGATCACTTTTGTGTGTTTTGAATTTTTTACCATATACACATTACCCATTCAAAATTGAATTTAAAAGAATAAATTTAGTTGACACTAGATGCAGTTAGATGAGATAAAGAAATAACTGGCAGAGGAACTCAATATAAACAAAAAATTTGAATTTCACCAAAAGAAAGTTGGAAGTCTCTGAGACTTTTAAGTTATATTTAATGCATTTACTTTGCTGTACTGAGTTTAGAAAACTGTTGTGTTTTTTTCAAGTTCCTTTCTCCTAGGAACCTAATATTAAACTATTACCTTCTAAGATCTTTTTTTCCTAAAGTAGGGACATGGCTGACCAATAGTTTTTGCCCGAGTTCTTATTTATGGTTTTTATTATGTTCCTTTTATTACAATGCTTAATAATGTATATTGTGTTTCATTTTTAAAATCCTCATTAGAAATAGCTCTTAAAATTGTGTATGTAATTTCTGTCTTCACAAAGTAGTACAGAATAAATTGTTACCTTAGAGGAAGCTTATTTTATAGCTTCTACAATACCTTGAATAGCTATTGTCTAGCTTCTATGAAAAATGAAATGCTGTTTGTTCTCAGAAACTAGAGTTCAAAACTCTAAATCATTTGGTTAAGAGGAACAGGAAATTGGTGTCTTCCACTTGTGAGATTTTAGACAATAGACAAACCAAATTGTTTCAGCTTGGAGTCAATACTGGTTGTAAATTATATACACAACAATGCTGACCTCGGTGATGAAACAAGTTGAAGTATATTTTCAAGTGCGCTATCTGAAAAATGCTACGTATATCAGTTTTTCTCAGGCTGCTCATTATGAATAAACAAGCAGTTTTCTGTGTTATTTGGAAGGCAAGTCCTCCCTTTACCCCTCCTTCCGTGGCCACTCCTCTTACACACATTCCCTCCCTCAATTATTTTAAGTAATGTTAAAGTGATGACAGTAACACATTCTTTACATAGGTTTATTATGTGATATTTTACTAAGCTACCCCTGGAATTCTAGATTCTAAACTGGATTAAATAAAACTTACAGAAAAGTCAGTGTTCACCTTCGTTATTTCTGCTAAAAGAACCCCAATAAATGGCAATGATTAAGGTGCTCATTTACTAGAGTTTTAAAGTGAAAAATCACCAAAGTGTGTGTGTGTGAAGGTTCCAAAGATAAGTAAGTATAGAGTAGATTGTCAGATGATGGACTTCCCCACTTTCTGGGCTCAGCCATCTATTTCTAGATCTAGATGGATCTAGGTCCATCATGCATTTACTGTTCCACATGGAAACAAAGAGCCAGCTAGGATGTATTCTCGTGTCTCCATATGCGTGTATTCTGATCTTCTCCATCTTTGGGGAAAGCTCCTCTGAAGAGGCCAGGATTCATGTGTAACAACAAAGAAAACTCAGAAGTTGTGTCCTACCCCATCTATTTCTTGGCCTTTATCCGCCTTTAACAGGAATGCCGTCACTTGAATGCATGATGCTCTCTAGGGATGGTTTGATGAATCATATTTTAATAGGGAGGAATTGTCGGCACTTTTACAAGTGATGCTGAGTCTATAGGTAATGTTTGCATCAAGGAAAAGTCTTAAATGGCCCTTTTCAACTTGACTTATCTTTTCAATTTCATTTAAAGGTATGACATTGGCATTTGCGGGAACATATTTATTGGTGAACTTTGCTCCAAATATAACTCAGGCTCTCTCGGCAAGAACAGTACAGTATTACTTTGTTGGCTGGCAGTTCCTCATCTATGTGGTAAGAATTCTAAAAATTTTACTATCCCAGAAGCTATATTGTCTAGATCACTGATACATGCAGATGATAGAGAATTAATGTAATCTTTTCTTCTCAGTATTAGTATCTCCTTAAAATGTAACTATACTTGACCAATACTGAAGTATTTGAAACACTAAATCAACAAGAGAAGCACTCTAAGTTTCCCAGGTATCCTGTCTTTGGGGGTGACCTGTCACTGGAACAATTTCCACAACATTTAACCTGTTAATATTTAACATTTAACCATGTTCCAGAGCAACATGTTTTAAGACAACTCAAAGTAAAAAAACAAACAAACAAAATCCAAAAAACCCCTCTTCCTGGGTCAAAGGGAAATACCTGAAGACACATTTTAATTCACTGAATTTTATTCAAGATAGATATTCTCTTTAAAAAAAGTACTCATTGGGTCCGGCCCCGTGGCCGAGTGGTTAAGTTTGCACGCCCCGCTTTGGTGGCCCAGGGGTTTGCCAGTTCGGATCCTGGGCGCAGACATGGCCCCGCTCGTCAGGCCACACTAAGGCAGCATCCCACATGCCACAACTAGAAGGACCCACAACTAAAGTATACGACTATGTACTGGGAGGATTTGGGGAGGAAAAAAAGCAGGGAAAAAACAAAAAGAAGTAAATTCTCTTAAAAGAAAAGTACTCATTGAGACAAATGCCACAGATTGTCTGGGAGAAGAAGACAGCAGTAGGACAATACTGAGAGATGTGTAAAAGAAAGACTGGAATGAGCTGATATAGAAATTTGAAGCCACTAATTGGAATATTTTATTTGATGCAGTGGCTGTATCTAGTGGATATAAAGAGAGAATGTGATTGAAATGGTTGGTATGTAACTGGTTAACAGAAGTTGGTTTAGGTTGGAGAATAAGAATATCTTAGGAAGGGTAGGTTGTAAGAAGAAAACTGGGATAATCTAGATGAGCATTTAACCAAGAACCAGATTGGTAAAAAAAAAAACAAACAGTTGTAAATTCAATAACAAGAATCAAAGCACACGGAATCATAGCTTTCTGGGGTTAGAAGTAACCTCAAAAATCTATCCAGTCCTGTCCTTTGCCATTAAAACAGGTGAAATAGTATGACCCTACTTTATACACCTTTTATTTAAAACTGTGACATTGGCATTTGCAAGGACATGTTTTTGTTGAACTTTGTTCTAAATATAACTCAGGATGTTACAGCAGGAACTGCACAATATTACAGTATTGCCTGGTGGTTCCTAGTCTACATGACAAGAATTCTATATATCTTACCATCTCTGATACATACTTCTGACCACTGGAACACAAATGTTTACAGGTCTTTTCTCTTTATGGTCTCCCACTCCACTCCTTTCTCTTACTCAACAAAGATACTTAAGTTTCTCTGTTAAAAAAGAAAGAAAGAAAGAAAGAAAATTCCTGATGCACTTCACACTGGGTAATAAACTATCCTATTCCCCTTCCACTCACCACCAAAAATGTATTCCCCTCCACTTTCTCAGCTTCTATTCACTCCTCACTCATTATAATGTAGTAGATCCCTCCCCACAAATTGCCGAAAGGCATTGCCTTTTTGGTCCTGATTCTTCTTGAACCTTGAGCATTTACTCATGGCCCATTGTCTTCTCCTAGAACCTCTCTTTTCCCTGGCTCCCTCACTATGTTTTCTCTGTTTCTCCTCTTCCTCTCTGACTAGTCCATGCCAGCCTCTTGGTGGGCACCTCCTTCTCTTCTGCCAGCCACTCTTATCTAGTCATGCTACATTCTCTTCCAGGGTTTTCTAGGGTAATCTCATTTCCCACCCTACCGTCATCCTTTAGAAAGCCTTCTTCCCCGGGCCTCTTCTGAACTCTGGATCTGTGTTCTCATCTGTCCACTTATTACTCATCCCTGCCTAGGTGTCCCATAGATTCCTCAAATGTAACATCTCAAAAACTAAACTCAGTGTCTTCTCCCCTAAACTCCCTCCTCTCTTATTTGGAAGGTTCCCCTTACCCCTGCCCTCCACCACCCTTTAGGATTGGGCTTCCCAGGTCAGATTAGCCTTTCTCAGGTCTGTCATACTTTGTGTCTCCCCCCGCCCCATTATATCTTCCTACTTGTCCACCATACCCAGTCCTTTAACTATCACAGTTTTGTCAATCAAATCTAAGCACTAGAAGGACTTGTTGAGTATTTCATGCTAGTGTAGACTTAAAGTCCTACCAACGCATTATTATTCTTTGCCTACAGGCAAAACAAGTTCTTCCCCCAGTAAGAAAAGAGTCACATAGTCTGTAACGAGAAAAGTAATAGCCTGAGTTGAATCCTTTGGAGATTAAAGATGCATCAAGACTTATTTCCTGGAATGAACAACATTGTTTGATGGTGATGTAGCCTTTTATTGTTTTAACACCAGAGAAAACATTTTAAAAGAGCAAAACCACTTTTTATTAAACTTTATATTTCCACAAAAAAATACTCTGAAATTAATTGCATTTAGCCATTTTCCCAAGTCAACTCTTAAATTCATTCATTCATTATTCACTGTTCATTATTCAACTTATTAGACACCTGGGGTATAGAGAAGAATTCCAAAGCAGGAATTTTACAGTCCTAGGAGAGACCTATATTCCTGTAAATATTGAAAGTAAGTGTCACCAAAAATGTAAAAAATTCCAGATATTTATAAGATAGCATAAAGTAAACCTTTAATAAAGTCACATTTTAATAACACTATTGGCAGTAGACCCTAAGGGGAATAGATCTATATTATCTTAGTTTGGAATTTAGTCCATTATATGTTGCATCTCTAAAGACTCTAGAAGTTATCGATTATATATTAAGATCTTGAGCTGAAATTTGGTTTAAATCTGTTAAACATCTAAGTAATTCATATTTAATCCTTGGATGTGGCAGATTCTGTGCTTTTTCTGCAAACCATGACTGCAAAGATCATAATTATAGTAATTAAGACTGTTCTTTGAAGTATCACTCATCTGTTTTTTTATTACACCAAGTATAAATGTAGCACCTGAATTGCCTTCAGGACTGATCAAATAACTAATAAAATGAATAAAAACATTTTAAAGTCTGAATAAATTTTACATTTCTTGAAGGAGATTGTAAAATTATATTGCACACTGGCTAATAGCATCTCCTTGTCTCATGTGTTTACCTGTACCAGGTGGCTGTCCATTTTACCTTCAAGGCTTACATGAAGTGGAAGCCTCACAGAAACAAGGCCCAGGAGCCTATCCTCTGATCTGATACTCTTTTGGCAGGAAGAGAATTTGAGAAGCCTGGTGTCTACCAGCCTGTGAAGAATGGAATGCCCTTTGCTCACCCACAAAAACAGCCTTTCCCAGCCTGTATTCACGATGGGTAGTCCCACCAGGTGCTTGCCAAAAAGCAGAAAAACAGTGGGTTTTCAAGGTCAAACTAACTTGGAGAGGTGCTGTATAACATGGCCCCTTAGAGTAACTCGTCATCTCTGTCATGCTGTGTCAAAAGCCAGAGGTCCTTTAGGAAAGAGACGGACTTAATTTTATTAATCTTGCGTGACCCGGGCTTATTTGACCATGGGGTCCGTTTCTCGAAGGACCTTTTGTTGAATAACATCTATTAACGTGGTCTGCAGAACCCATATGAGGAAATGCAGCCCTAAGCCTCAATTACTTCATGTTCTTGGCAGGTTTGATTGTGGCTGTTTTGTGCACCCAGACTTTCCAACAGGCTATTCAAATTGAAACCTCTGTTGTGAACATAGAATCCTTTACAAAATAATCTACACGGTGCTCATTTTCTCTCTGCCAGACAAAAAATTAAATCAGCAGAAGCAGAGGTCAAGCCTGTCATTTGGTGTAATTTTATACCCCAAAGCCGATTATTAAGTCAACTTTTCTGGCAAAGCTGCTTCAAGACCCACCGCCAGGTGTGAAAAACACGAAGGGAGAAAACTCTATGTTTTTATAAGACCTCAATATCTATTGTGTGAGGTTCATTTGCTATGTTGTCTGAATGCAGATAGCACTTGGAGGTCTGCACTAGGGCACACTGCTGCAGGATCCGTGGGCAACACTCACTCAGCAGGCTGAGCCTTGGGCCTAGCTCCAGCTACATTCTGTGGTTTACCTGCACAACAGCTCTATACATTGGCAGATGGGGAAGCTGAGGTAGGGAGGTTCAGGAACTTGTCCAAGGTCAGCTAAGTACTAAGTGGCAGAGCTAGAATTCAAAACCGGACAGGCCACCTCTAGGATGCACACTTCAGTTCCTTTCACTACACACCTCTCTGTGCAGAATTAATAAAAGCTGACCACCGAGGATCAGATCTTTGTCCAGACTTGGCATTGGAGAGAACCTTTGCAGAGCTCATCTCTTGGACAAGGAACCCATGTACTTTCAAGGAAGGCTGTACTTTCAAGAAAGAACATGGTGAGAGAAGTGAGATGAAGTTGGGCTCAGGTTTTCGTACTGCAAGTGGGGCATCCAACGATGGAATTTTGTGTATCTGTTTTGTCACATCATCCCATGAACTGCCAGTGCACTTCATACCGCTGAAAACAGGGTGATGAGTGCCTTTAAATCTAATTAGGGTAGAGAACCAAACCAGAAAACCCAGAATCAATTCAGAAAACTCATCCTAAAGATTCTGTTCCTCTGGAAAGACTTCAGGTACCAAAACCTGAATTAGTTTCCTATTACTTCCATAACAAATTGTCTCAGACTTAGTGGCTTAAAACAACACACATTGATTATCTTAAAGTTTTGAAGGTCAGAAGTCCAACACAGGTCTCAATGAACTAAAATCAAGGTATTGGCAGGGCTGTCTTCCGTGTGAGTGCCTCTGGGGGAGAATCTGTTTCCTTGCCTTTTCCAGCTTCTAGAGGCTGCCAGCATTCCTTGACTTGGGTCTTTCTCATGTTACATCTCTCTCTGACCACAGCTGGGAATGTTCTCTGCTTTTAAGGACTTGTGTGATTACATTGAGCTCACTTGGATAATACAGAATAATCTCCCCATCTCAAGGCCCATAGTCTGAATCACATCTGCAAAGCCCGTTTGCCAGGTAAAGTAACATATGTGCAGGCTCCAGAGATTAGGACATGGACGTCTTTAATGTCATGAATCAGACATGTAATGTCAGAATAATGGGGAGCCATTATTCTGCCTACCAGAGCTGGATCACTTAACTCCTCTGAGCCTTGGTTTCCTCATCTGTACAATGGGGATAATAATAGCACCCACCTCCTACGGGTGTTGTGAGGGTTCGCTGAATTAGCACAAGTAAAGCGTGTGGTGAGCACGCAGTAAGTGCTGCCGTTATTTCTGACCTCTGAGAGAGCAGTCAGCCAAGCAGCCTCTTTCTAGGTGGCAGCAACCTGCATCAATCAACAGCTTCTTGATATTTTCAGAGAGGGAAAACAATGTTGCTAGAAAAATATTAACATTAATTCATGCTGCTTGAATGTTTTATTCCTGGGAGCTCCCTGACCTCTTGCCACAAGACAGAACCTGGGGCAACTACAGTCAGTCTGTGAATAATAGGAACTCACGTCTATTTTATCTGAAGCCACAGAGTGGAATTTGCAAAAAAGTGATATGTGATTTTTAGAACTGATTAACTACCCTCACCCCCCGCAAAAATGAATAATCAGCGTGGTAATAGATTTAGCTAACTTGCTCTGTGCGTTAGTGCAGGAAGAGCTTTCTTCTCTCCAGCAGCGAGTGCAGTGGTCCTGAATGTGCTGTGAGTTGTTCGTAATTGCATCACGTGAGGAATGAAGCTTGTGGTTGAGGGAGACCAAGCCGAGGGGATACTTCTGTGAGTGATTGATGATGTCATGGGGTTGGGCTCCCGGTGTTTTCATGGCAGCTTTCAGGAAGGCAAAGAGATGGGAGTTTAATAGCTCTTGTAGCATGACTTGATTCAATTAAAGGCCTGGCAAGTAAGTCCTATAATGAAAAGTTAAAATAATTGGTTTAATTTCTCAGAAAAAGGAAAGACTAAAGGATGAGTTAATCTTCCATATTAGATGAAAAGATTTTTAAGTGAGGAAGATATGGTCCTGTGGCCCACAGAGGAGTAAAGGAAAAAACAAACCAACAAGCAAAACCGTGAATTGAAACAGTGGAGATTCACGTTGATTTAGAGAGCACTCCGTGAGTAAAACACAGGCCTGAAAGCCGCGGCAAAGTCCCTCACTCTCATAATTTTTAAGAAACAAGTGAGTGATGGTGTTTTTACTTGTCTGATGTCAGGAAGGTAAATGTTCATATTTATGATTTCAGTCCAGGAATACCATCTCTTGGAAAAAAAATAATAGTTTTGCTTCAGGTTATCTTAAGGACTTCAAAGAAGAAAACAAGTTAAAAATAAAATTGAGAACTCAAAATTACACTGCAGTTTTCTTAAGGGTAGGAAAATTTTAGACTTTCATTCAATTAATGTTTATTGAACACTCAGTTTATTAGACATTAGGTCTGTTTTTGGCAAGTTGTTCGTAATAAATCTGAGGTGTAATTTACTCATTAGTTCCATAAATACTTATTGAGTGACCACCTGTATGCCAGGCATTGGAGACAGAGTGACGAACAGGATGGATAGGGTCCCTTTTCTCATAGAGCTGGTGTGCTGGTAGCAAGATGAACAGAAACACGTAAAATTTACATGAACAGGAAATATGCCAGATGATGATAAAACGCTCAACAGGAGCCACCTGAAGTCGAGGGTGTGCTAGGATGACTGGGTGGTTCTATTAGATTAGAGTGGTCAGGGAAGACCTCCCAGAGGAGGTGACGTTTAAGCTGAGGGTTGAGTGAATAGAAGGAGCCTTGTGCAAAGATCAGAGAAAGAACATTCCAGACAGCCTGAACAGTTAGTGCAAAGGCCCAAAGCCAAGAGCAATCTGAAGACTGCAGAGAACTGGGAGAAAAAAAGGCCATTTGTGGCTGGCGCAGGTTGGACTATCCAGGAGTGAGCCATACAGGACGAGGTCCAAGAAGTTGGCTGAGGCTTTGTAGTTCAGGAAGGAGTTTGGATTTTATTCTTAATGTGATAGGAAACCATAGGAGGTTTAAGCAAAGGAATGACTGGATCTAATTTATATTTTTACTACATGTATCACCCTAGATGAATCTCATAAACATAACACACAGTGAAAAAAAGCAAGCAAGCAAATGCAAGTATGATTCCACTTGTATAAAGTCTAAACGTATGCAAAAATAAACAGGATGTCATTTGGGGATACATAGAAATGTGATGAAGTATAAAGAAAGTGAACGATAAACACAAAGTTCAGTGTAGCCGTCCCTGGGGAGGTCATTGGAGGAGGAGTGCAACTGGGGAGGGGCACACAAGGGACTTGAAAGGTGTTGGTAGCTTCAGTTTCTCAGGTTGAGTAGAGGGCACATGAGCACTTGTCATATTACTGTACATACCTTATATGTATATGATATTATTCTCTATGAATGAAATATTATTATCCAAGCTGTGTTTTTAAATGAGTCCTCTGGCTGCTGAATAGCTGGATTGTAGAGAGGCAAGAGTAAATCAGAGACAAGTTAGAAGCTATTGCAGTAGTTAGAGGATGGCAGGGAATGAGGGAAAGGGGAGTTTTTGGCTGGTGCAGTGAAGCATTGGTGATGCCATTTACTGAGGGAGTGAAGGCCGCAGGAGGAACAGGTTGGGGAGGTAGGGAATCAGGAGTTAAGTGTTGCCCATGTTAGTGTCATATGGCTGTTAAACATGTCTGTGGAAATGTCTAGTAGATAGTTGGATAGACGAGACTGGAGTTGCAGGGAGGTCAGGACTGGAGATCTAGATTGGGCATCACTGGCATATAGGTGATGCCAGAGCTCCGGCTCTGGATGGCTGAGGCTTCTTAATCATTCTCATAGTTTTATGGTTGTCCTCAGGAACTCCAGTCACCCTCAGGTCTTATGTGAGAAACGTTGCAAAATCAAAAAGAGAAGTGTGGCATTCCAAAGACTTTGTATAGAATGATTTACACTTTATTCTTTTTCATCTTTTTCATTTCTAGATTTTAGAAATATTAATTTTCTGCATTCTCCTATATTTCCATAAAAGAAAAGGAATGAAGCACATTGTGATTCTGCTAACCTTGGTGGCTCTTCTAGGTAAGGAGATATTCTGTTTTCAATCCTCTAACTGAGCCATGCTAAGTCATAAAAGAGATTTGATGGAAAATATTTGAGCATCCTATTCCTTTCTCATTGTTTCTACTTTTCAACTCTGATCTATAGAAACAAACTGTCTCAGTTATGCAAAGTATACTTTGCATGTTCATTACTACAATTGATAGATGTTTAATTCTCCTAAAAATATATTTAAGGATTTTTAATTCTTGGTAATTTTATTTGCTCTCTGATGATTTGAAGATTTTTTTCTTAATAAATAATTGAAAAATATTAGAAGAGGAACAAATGAATGAACCCACTTGAAACTTTTGTATCAGGAATTAGTTATCAAGACCTACCCTGTTTACATTTTGTTTTAAATTCTAAAATATGGCTAATATGAAACATAAATGTAAGCAATATGATTTCCTTAAATACATTTCTTTCATTCATTGTTTATCTACTCATTTTCTTTTTCTTTTCCTTATAAGATTTGAAAACTGATGCTTAGATAAGCCCATTATGTATTTTTAAATCTATCCTCCCTCCCCACTCCTCTCTCTCTCTCTCTCTTTCTCTCTCTCTCTCTCTGTCTCTGTCTCTCTCTCTCTACACACACACACACACACACACACACACACACACACTCTCATATATCTCAACACTAGGAGATCTCACTAATCACTTGGGAAATTCTCCTTTTAAAAATTTCTTTATGCTGTTGTAGTGGAAAAGCAGCCAGAGATGATAGCATGTAAACGAGTAGGCATGCCTGTGTGACAATAAAACTTTATTTTACAGACAAAAAAAATTCATTTATAATTCTTTCTTTGCCTCTTCTTTGCCAGTAAGATGACCCATACATGGTACATTGTTTGCTATGACTTTGTAGTATACGTAGACCTTTGGGGCAGGCTGCAGCCCCCATATTGATGAGGTGCTGGAGCTTTCATTTTTTTCATTTCATCAGCTAGTTCTCTCTTTTGAATTGGAAGATTTGTATTTGTGATAGTTACTTATAGAAACAAATTTACCGTATACCGTTTTCAGGTATGCTCTCGATCAAAAGAACAGAAAAGGAACTTTATATTTGTTTCTTCCAAATTACCAGATAGGGAAAACAAAAGCAAACAGCTAAGTGAGAAAATGTACATTATATAGGAAAATATTGAAAATAATGGAAATTTTAAATAGGAAAGTGAGATATCACAATTAAGATTATATATATCAGTTATGATCATAAATGTAAATGGGGTAAGTTTACCTAATAAAAAGGAAAGATTACTGAAATGGACCTTAGAAAAATTCCCAGATTGATTTTGAAAAGATTTTGAAATTGACTTGAGCCAGTTTGTTCTGGTTCAGCTCTGTGGGAGTTCTCGAAATAGCACCCTTTCTAAGTGGCTCTTGCTGGTTGTGAAATATTTTGACTTCATACATAAATTTCATGTAAAATAAGGTAACTGAGATTGAGAGTAAAAGAAAGCAGAAGGTCATGATATTACTCTCTAAATTAAAATCAAGGCAGAAGCATTAAATGCAATGAAAGATCCTGGAGACCCCCTGTTAGTATTTAGTTGCTAATCTTGGCAAGATTAGGGGTTGGGAGGAGGCACAGGAGACTGGGCAGCAGTTATTTCAAAAACTGTGTTAACAGAAATAGAACAGGAGTAGGAGACTTCTCTTAGCTCGTGGAAGATAAATAGATAGAAAGATATGTAAAGATAGAGGAATTAAGATAAATAATTAATTTTGATCTGGCAGCTCTAATATTGACCTCTAAATCCTGAAAACAGAGGATACACCTTTTTTCAAACGCCTTTGATGTAACATTTACAAAACTTGGTTGTATAATTAGCCACAAAGAAATCCTTGATAAATTCCAGGAGGTTGAAATAGTACAGACCACATTCTCAGATCACAGTGAAATAAAAACAGAAAATAATAACAAAAATAGAAACCGGTAAAACTGTACCACCTGAAAATGTTAACACTGCTCTTAAGCTGCAGCTGGGCCAAAGTAGAAAGCAAGATTTCATTGCAGCATATATTTTTAAAAATTGTTATGAAAACACCTAATATTAAACCTATAGTTTATGACTAATGCTATATTCAAAAGGAAATTCATTGCTTTAAGTGAAAGTCAATTAGGCAGTCAACTCAAGAAGTTAGGAGAAAAAAACTGAAATAAAGTTTAGGCAAGCAGAAAGAAACTGTTAATAAAGACAAAGGGAAAAATTAATGAATTACAAAACAGAAAAGCAGTGGATTGATAAATAAACCCAAGAATCAGTTCTTAAAAGACAATAAAATAGATCCTCCATAAGAAAAAAAAAGGAAAAATCTCAAATACCCCAAATTAGAAAAAGCATAAAATGAAAATAAATATGAAAACTTGAATAAATTACTTATTTTTAAAAGGAAAATAACTATGGAGGAAATAGAGGTGTTGTTAAAAAGCTACATCCTAAAAAGAACCACGCCTAGACTTTCTTTTACTTTCAACCTAGAAGTTAATGCCTTTAAATCTTTAAGAAACAGATTATTCTGATGTTCAAACTATTTGAAGACATAAAAAGAAGGCTTTCACTTTTTATTTTTTAACATTATCAGTATAAATACCAATCCAAAATAGCACAGATAAAGAATACTATGGGGGCTGGCCTAGTGGCACAGCAGTTAAGTTCACGCGCTCTTCTTTGGTGACCTGGGGTTCATGGGTTCGGATCCCAGGCACAGACCTACACACCACTCATCAAGCCATGCTGTGGCGGCATCCCACATACAAAATAGAGGAAGACTGGCACAGATGTTAGTTCAGCGACAATCTTCCTCAAGCAAAAAGAGGAAGATTGGCCACAGATGTTAGCTTGGGGCCAATCTTCCTTATTAAAAAAAAAAAGAGAAAGAAAGAATACTATGAACTAATTTCACTACTGAATATTGATGTAAAAATCCCAAATAAAAAATTAGCAAGTAGAATCCAGAACAAATCATACTTTATGACCAAGTAGTCTTAATGAAACCAGTTCATTTTCTTTGTAACACTTAAAATAATTTGTATTTACATATTCTACTTATAGATTTACATATTGTTATGAGCTCGTCCTCCGTGCCAGATTTGTTTTGTGAGGACACAGGCTGTCTGTTACAGTTACACTATATAGACTTTACCTGGGACTGAGCATAGTGAGCACAAAATAAGCATTTGAATTAATCAACTAATTAATTAATTAATTATAGGAATTAAAGGATGGTTCTTTAAGAAATCCATTAATCTATGACTCAAAAGGGAAATATCATGTAATTATCTCAATAGATGCTGAGAAGTCATGTTAAAGTTGATATCCATTCCTAATAAAGAATTTGAAATACAATAGGAATGGAGAGATACCTGTGTGTTAAAAACATATTTCTTTTTTTAAATTTTAACTTTATTGAGAAATAATTGACAAATATAGTTGCATATATTTAAAGTATAAGACATGATGATTTGATATACATATATATTGTAGAATGATTACCAAGCTCAAGATAATTAACACATGCATGACCTCATATAGTTAACATAGTTAACTCTTTTTTGTGTTTGTGTGGTGAGAATGCTTAAGATCTATTCTCAGCAACTTTCAAGTATACAATACCATATTTTTAACTGTAGTCACCATGCTGTACATTTGATCCTCAGAACTTCTTCTTCTAACTGAAAATTTGTACCCTTTGGCCTACATCACCCCATTTCTCCCTCCCCCCAGCCTCTGGCAACCACCATTATATTCTCTGTTTCTATGAAATTGGAAAGACATATTTCCCTTAAACCAAAAGCTGAAGTGTACCTGATGGTAAAATACCAGAAGTGTTCTCATTGCAGCAAAAAACGAGAAAAAGATGCCCACCCTTCACTTTATACTCATCTGTGCTGTTTGGATATTTTACAATGATAATTAATGACTTTTCCAAGAAAAAAAATGATCGTAAAGATCATGTAGCAGCTTTGAGAAATATTTATGGTGTCGTGTTAAATGGAAAAGTAGCACAGAACATTGTACCTACCTTTGTTGTGATGAAAAGCACACGTTACGATGGAAACTGGAAACAAATGAGAGGTAGTGGTAGGTGGATTTTGTTTTTACTTTATTGCTTGATATATTGTTTGTGTGATAGATAAAAAAATGGAATTAAAAAAGAAAATAGAAAGTGAGGGCAACCAGGAAGAAGGAAATCTAGTGAGTGGCTCCCTTTGGCTGGGGCTGCCGTCTCCTTTCTTAATACCAGAATCCTTTCAGTTGATCAGGAAGCTAGGAAAGCTAGGAGGGCCTTCTCTATGCTTAGCACGCTCTGATTGCCGAAGCCAAATTCACAGATTAAATATTTATGGCTCTAATAAGGAGACGTTGATGGCAGTTTGGGAAAGTCCTTGGAAGGAGCAATTGATGAAGAACCAAGAATCAAATGAGGGCTGAATTTCAAACGCAGGTCGGCATATGTTAGGCAAAAATGGTACTGTCATATTGATGAAAGTAATACATGTCTATTGTTGAGAATTAAGAAAACAGAGAATGATATGAAGAAAAATATAAAAATCTATGTAATTGAGCACTGCAGCACAATACGGTAGGAGTGTGACTGGTGCTTTTCGAAGGCGGTTTGCCAGTGTATTTCAGAAGAAATATACTGCTGTCAGCACTGTAATTCCCCTTTAGGTGATTTTCCTAAGGAAAGCAGCAGAGTGATACACAAAGATTTATGTTCAGGATATTTATCACAGCCTCATTTTTAAGACCAAACAAAAAATGGATATAATCTAAATATACAAGAATAGAGAGTTACCAAAACAAGTGTTCATTCATACAAAGGTATACTTTACAGCCAATAAAAACCATGCTTTAGAAGAATAGTAATGCATAGAAAATACTTAACAGCAATGGAAAACAGGTTCCTAAGTAGTGTATACTGTATGATTCACATGGGAAATATATATTCATGCTTAGAGATAGAAAAATATATATATTTTGTTTTGTGAGGAAGATTTGCCCTGAGCTAACATCTGTGCCAGTCTTCCTCTACTTTGTATGTGGGATGCCTCCACAGCATGGCTGATGAGTGGAGTAGGTCCATGCCCAGGATCTGAACCCACGAACCTGGGCCACCAAAGCAGAGCATGTGGAACTGTAACCACTCAGCCACCGGGCCAGCCCAAAAAAATAACTATTAAGAAATATTCTCCAGTGTTAAAAATGATTTTAGGATGAGGGTTGAGATTACAGATGATTTTTATTTTTCTTTCCAGGCTTTTTGCATTTTCCAAAATTTTTTAATTGAAGATATATGCTTTGATAGTTTAAAAAAATGAGTTTAAAAGTTCTTCATAATCCCACTGCCTAGAGATAACCACTGACAGTCTCTTGATGTAGTTTCTTCTAGCTTTTTTCTGTGCATACATAAGTACTTTCTATTTTTATAAATACAACAATGGAATGATACTGCATTACAATTTCATACTTCCACCTGAACTCATCACCCACCCTGCCCCCATCAAAAAAAACTTAGAAGTACTTGACACCAGCCTGGAAATAACTTGCAGAGTTACAATAAATAGTGATTAATCAGTTGGTGATTGTGCACGCTTTGAAAATATAGTAATTAACTATAGCAACTGATAGTTTGTTTAGCTATTTAATAAAGAATTCTAGTTTTGTTTTTGTTTTGTGTTTAAGTATAATTTAACATCAGATGGTGGTTGACTTAGATGACCTTTGAGCGCCTTTGCAATCCTGAGGTTCTGAGGCTAATGGAACAGTGTGTTCAACTCCTTCTGCATTAATGATCCCTTTGGGAAACTGGCTGTTCAGATCACAAGACCATAACCGCACTGTGCTCTAATTGCAAGCAAAGTGTTTAGGAGGAAATCAAGATCTCTCAGGAGCTAACCTTACAAACTTAAACCATCAAGTGACACATATTTCTGTAGACATTTAAAATTTCTAGTTTAGCTAAAATATGACTATTGTCATAATCTGTAGAAAATATGTAAAAAGATCAGGTCAAAAGACAATTTGAGATAAAGAGGGGCCAGCTGTAAGGGCCTGTCTGTTCAAATTGGGGATAGTTTTTAGAATTTATCACCTGGTCTCCTCTGTTAATTATGACTTTTAACAGAAAGAAAATGCATAATTTCAAAGTGTGCCCTGATACTCTTTAACTTAAAGTTATTTTCAGTTTTTGGAAAAGGAAATATGGGAGGCTTTCCCTAGTTGGCCATCACCTGGTATTTTAAACATACTCATTATATATATGTACACTCATTATACATATATACTCATTATATATATGATGATTATTATTATATATGTGATACATATCATACTCATTTTATATAATATGTAATATATATAATATATATTAATTATATTATATGTATATAACCTTTTCAATAGCTAAAAGGAATAAAGCCCTGATATATTATAATCAGGTAGATCAACTGCAACAAAGGTAGTATTTCTTTACATTGCCTTTGACTTATAATTATTTGATTTCATGTAAAAATGTTTTTTAACTTTCTGTGAGTTTCAGCTAAATTATGGAATTATGTGCAACAGTAATTTCAAAGGACCTAAGACAGAAAGAAAACACTGCCTTCTTCCTACAGAAACATGATGTTTCCAGAAAATACTTCATTGCTTTCACATCAATATAACCTTCTCAAATCACTTTTCCTTCATTGCTGCTTGAAACCTATGAAAAATTTGTTCTCATAAGGGATTGATTCCTCTTTAGCATAGAAAATAAATAGACATTGCTTATGTAAATCTTAGATTTATGGTTGACTCTGAGAAATGAACACTCAGCTCTGGTCCTGCTTCCCATTAGCATCTTTGTCAAAAAATAGTTTAATGAAACTTCGAGGGATTTACTAACAAAAGTCCTCAAACAGACTAAGTACAGCTCATAGTAAACTCACGGAGTGAGTTGCTTTTCACTTTCCAGTCTTCTCATCTATTTGGCTTTAAAACTTTTCAGTATAGTTTAATAGTTGTTTTCTCATTAAAGTCACGTGGATAATCTGACTTTTCTTATCTCCTCCCTTCATTGTTTTCTCCTTTCCCATCTACCAGTAATTATAACCTCCGCAGCATTCTTTCCACAGTTAGGGCTGGAAAATAAGCATCTTGCTCCAAAGATAAAAAGCACCCAGTCCCACAGCAGATCTTTAGCTGATTTCAGCAAATTTAAAGTCCAGCACAGCTTGAGCAACAGGGCTGCTGCTTGGCTGGTGTCACTCCTACCCTCCACCTCTCACAACTGTCTTCATTCTTAAAGCATAATTGGAGTATTTACTACTCTACCATGTAAACTTAAGATATTTATTTGTAATTCTTTCTCAAATATGTATATTATTTGTGTTTTTTGTTTTCTTTTTCAGCCTCATTGACAGTTATTTCAGTAAAAGCCGTCTCAGGCATGATAACTTTTTCTGTGACGGATAAAATGCAACTGACTTATCCCATCTTCTATGTCATGTTTATCGTCATGATAGCATCTTGTGTTTTCCAAGTCAAGTAAGTTAGCTTCTGCATTCTCACTAATCTTTCAGCATTCCTGTGCTTCTCTGAGCATTAATCTTTATTGGCTTCAGATGATAATTAAAATTAGATGCAACTGATTTCTAAGGGTGAAGGGTGTACAGCTTATGCTCAGCCAACATGCCTTGCTTTATCCTTCGCATCCAATAATCAGTTTTCACTAAGCTTTGCCTTCACGTCTGTGAGTTCTGAAGTAAAGCCGTAATCCAACTAAGTGCACTTTGATACTTTCCTCATGCTCTTCTGCTTGTAATTAATATCCATTGTACACAGGTTGTCATTAGCAATAAATCAAAGGGGCAGGTCCACATCCAGGATTTCATTCTAAATATAGGAAATACATGAACCCTTCACCTTCATTTCTTAGCTCATGCTCATTAATTGCCCAGGGATGGACAAAACCAGACATTTGGCCGGGAGGGAAATCCTTTCCCCAGAACTTTACATCTTTGGCCAGAATTTTCTTTGTACCCATGGGATTGGGAATGATTGTTTTATGTTTCTCTTGGGGCCTAATAGTGGTGACATGGAACATTTTTAATTTCTGCTCTTCTCTCCCCCTACCTCCATCTGCTCCAATCACTTCCCCTCCATTTAGCATCATGATTATGCCTCTGCCTGCTAGGCTTTCTTGAGTCAACCAGAAAGTTTTCTGTTTACCCCAAAATGCTTTACAAAAGCACCATCCCCGTGCCAGCTAGGAAATTAGAGCCCAAACTCTGGAAGAGAGTGGTTCCTTCCATAGGTACTAGAGGTAAAGTCTGTTATGGGTTGGATATAAGCCCTGTTATAAGGAGCATGAAGAATTACTGGAGAAACCCCGTGTTTTGTCACTGTTTCATTTGTCATTTCCTTGTAAGACTGAGTGTGTTTCTAATACTTCAGTCTTGCTATTTTTTTAATCTCTCTTTCTTCTGAATTAACCAGTACTACTATATCTTTTGGAATTTGGTTAGCATCATTATCTTTAAACTGTGCTTTATGAATTTAAAAGGCAGACTCAACTGAAGGTAAACTGCATTCCTATCACCCTTGTTTTAGTCCCTGCATCTTACACACTAGAACTATGAGACACGCTAGACTATAGAACTGTGCTTCTCATCCCTGGCTGCCCATTAAAATTACCTGAGGAGGTTTATTTGTACACATATAAGTACATATATGTATACATGTACATATATACACACATACATGTATACATGCATATGTGTATGTATACGTACATGTACACACACGCACAAGTGCACCTGGACTCTGCCCACATTTTTTTTCCAACTGCTCTGGAATAGGACCTAAGGCATTTGTGCTTTCTAAAAGCGCCCAGGTGATGTCAGTGCAATGCACTGCTTTAGAGAAAGGTCTAGTCCCTGATGGGGCAGCACAACACAGTTGTGGGAACCTGAATCACGTTGGTGGCCAAAGTGAGAAGCTGAGCTCCCACATGTGCTGTGCAGCTGGAGTACTGAGCGTTGTTTTTGAAACATTAAACATTCCTTTACTTCTCCATCTTCTTTCTTGGCACGTGGCATGTCAGTGGATAGCTATACTATTCCCCAGATATGATATTTAACAGATTCTAGGGCCTATCCTAATGAATCAGCCCCAGTGTGATACTGGTCCAGCAGCTTGAATCGCTTCCAACTCAAACTTATGTGGCCTCAGAATATGATTAATTGCTTTTCATTGTTACTGTTGTTGGTTTAAACAGACCATAAAACCTGACATCTGATCTCATACATCAGATGCGTATAAGCTATGACTGCTGATTGGAAATGCCCTTTTACTGCACTTCCTTTCTCTTTGTAGTTGTAGTTAAAGAACAAGCATTTCTTGAAGTTATTGTTAACTTATTTCTGAGCGTCTCTTAAAGCCAGAGCTTCAGTAAGTGCCTTCTGCTCTAGGTTCCTGAATCAAGCCATGAAGCTCTATAATACGACAACGGTGGTGCCAGTTAACCATATTTTCTTTACAACCAGTGCCATTATTGCAGGTGAGTTTTGGTCTTCCATACTTAGGTGATTCTACCCCCACAACAAGCGTAAATGAAGTTTCTTTCAGAGTAAATGAGAAAATCAAGGAACTTTTAGGTTATAAGGAGCCGTGTAGCCCACATCCTCCTAGCCTCCCCCTAGTGTCTGAATTTCCTCTGTAGCATCCTCTAGGACAGGTTATTCTACTTTGTTTGAGTGTTCCCCAGTGCTCTCTACCTCCTGAGATCGCTCAGCCCCGTTTTGAATCATTCTAATTATTTAGAGAGCTCTAATTATTAGAAAATATTTCCTTATACTGGAGTGGAAATTAGCCTCCCGATGAATTTAAGACACTCATCTTAGTTCTGTTTTCTGGGTCCTCCTCCTTGCCAGCCCCCCTGATAATCAAAGCAGCTGAAGTGTCCTCTTGTGTCTTGTCTCTGGGCCAAACAACCCCAGGTCTATTACTAACTCTTCCTTCCCTGCCCCGCTCCCCTTAATCAGAGAGTGGGGCCCAGACTGAATCCAGTGCTCCAGGGACGGCCAGGCAGATGAGAACAGAAACTATTACTTTTGCTGTTCTGACCTCTATTTTTCTGCTGTTGCAGTTCTTTTATTTTTATTTCTACTACATCAGATACAATAATGTTTTTTTAAAAAAAGCATAAATTTGAAACTTGGTCCAAACGAAAACACTAGATTCAGATATATCACTCCTAAGTTTGGTACTGGCATGCCCTAGTTCACTGGTTTATTGGATGTATTTGCTACTTTCTCATATTGGGAGTTCATTTCCCAGCGCAAAGTTTATGTATTTTTCAGGTAATTAGGGATTATCTGTTTCCTAATTGGCACATCTTTTTAATTTCATGGCAAACAATGTGACTGCCAGTGGCAGTTTTTAAAAGTAATCAATTCATTTTCTGTTTCCCAAAGTTGAGCCTTACTTTTAAAGAAAAAGATTATATCCCAAGACGTCGAATTTTTTTTTAGCATTTTATGCTTGTTGACAAAAGAAAGTAAGAAAAGACTGTACATCTGTGTGCCCTAGAATTATTGGAAAAGGAAAAGAACAAAGCCAAAAGGAGTTCTAGGCATGACATACAGCCTAATAGTTAATATTAACATGCTGAAGATGTGTAAAAATGTAGTTCCCCAGAAAGGAAAGTTTTATAGGAGGACCAGTAGGGCTAGGGCTGAGTAATGGATGAATGTGGGAGGCTGAAGCTTTCCGGGAGTACTATCAGTTCATCTGATGTTACTGCAGTGTGGAAGGGAGGTGAAGCTTCTTGACTAATCTCTCCTCTTTACCTTCATCAAAAAGTATAGCTTAAAATTAAAATCAAACACCATATTTTGCCTACTAAATTAGGAAAGTTTTTGTCTTGTTCTTTTTATTGCAATAAGCAGTGCCGACAAGGCTGCAGTATCACGGGCACTCTCATGGAACTGGGTAGCATGGGACCACCCTCCTGGAACTGAGTTTCATAGTTTTTATCAAAAGCCTTAAAAATGTTTTTAATCTTTGATTCTACAACTCAGCAACAACAAAAAAATAACCCAATTTAAAAATAGGCAAAGGACCTGAATAGACATTTCTCTAAAGAATAGGTACAAATGACCGATAAGCACATGAAAAAATGCTCAACATCACCATTCATTAGGGAAATGCAAATCAAAACAAGGAGATAGCACCTTACACCCATTAGGATGGCCCCTAGCAAAAAATAGTAGATAAGTGTTGACAAGGATGTGGAAAAATTGGAACCCTTGTGCACTGTTGATGGGAATGTAAAATGAGGTAGCCACTATGGAAAACATTATGGCAGTTCCTCAAAAAAATTAAATGTAGAATTAACATATGATCCAGCAATTCCACTTCTGTGTAGATGTCCAAAAGAATTGAAAGCAGAACTTGAACATATATTTGTACACCTAGGTTCATAGCAGCATTATTCACAATAGCCAAAAGGTGGAAGCAACCCAGTGTCCATTAACATATGAATGGATAAAGAGAATGTGGTATATACATACAATGAAATATTATTCAGCCTTAAAAAGGAAGGAAATTCTGACACATACTATAATGTAGATGAACCTTGAGGACATTATGCTAAGTGAAATAAGCCCCTCACAAAAAAGACAAGTACTGTATGATTCTACTTATAGGAGGTATCTGGAGTACTCAAACTTACAGAAATAGAAAGCAGAATGGTGGTTACTAGGGGTTAAGGGGAAGAAGAAATGGGGAGTCATTTAATGGGTATAGAGTTTCAGTTTTGCAAGATGAAAATGTTCTGGAGGTTGGTTGCACAATAATGTGAATATACTTAACACGACTGACCTTTAAACTTAAAAATGGTTAGGATAGTAAATTTTATGTTATGTGTATTTTACTACAATTCTAAAAAAGAAAATGTTTAAACCAGAAATTCTACTTCAAGTGACAATAACAAAAAATCCTAAGATACTTGGAAAAATATGTACAAAGAAGTTTATTTCTACTTTACGAAAGCAAAAAAACTTCAGAACAAATTAAAATGCCCTAAGAGAAATGACTGTCATAGTGCATCAGCTTAGAATAACATGAAAACATTAAAATGTTTACAAGGAAGTGTGTAATAACATGGAAAAATGCTTCAGAAATGTTTGTTCATTTGACAAATATTCGTTAGAACTGGACATGGCTTCTTCCTGAAAGAAGCTTGTTCTCTAGGTGAGGAGACGGACTTCAGACTGAGAAAGCTCCTTGAGTACAGGCCTCTGTCTTGTTCATCATGGTATCTGTAGCACCTAGAACAGGGGCTGCACAGGACTCTTAATAAATATTTGTCGACTGACTAGCAAGGCTAACATCACACACACAAAAATTTAATTCCAGGTAATATATAATTTAAAGATATCTTGTTTAATAAAAACTCTATGAAGGCTTTGGGACCTTAGACCAAGAAGAAATTATTGAGACCAAGAAGAGGAGAACAACAAGGAGAGAAGAAAAGCTCATCAGAGTGTCACATCCATGTTTTCCTTCACCCAAAAAGGAAGACCAGAAGAAGGGGATGGGAGAGGGGGTTGGCAGTGAGAAGTGGAGCTGGGATAGCACATCAGTTGCTACAGTGTCCCCCAGTGCCTGAGTGAGCATGTGGCCGGACCAGCAGACCACAGGGCATTTGCAAGAGCGACAGCACAGGCAGTAGCTGACCTGAAGTTCACACGCTATGTCAAAGGCCCCGGAATCCATCCAGACTCTTAGGCCAGGCTTGGTGACCCCTGGCCTAAAACTGTAGGTGGGAAATATGGCTAGAGTTTTGTTTTCTTGCGTGTTCCAGTGGGACAAATCCTGGACTGGATAAGAAATTTCTATTTGCAAAAGTTATGCCAATTTTGTTGGTTTTATATTAATGATACATTATGTAAAGTCTACAAATCTATGTTCTTTTTGGAATCATTGAAAATATAAGTATGGCATGCAAATATCTTTAAATTACTGAATGTGCCTTTCTAATACTTAGAAAAAATAATATATTAACATAATTTGAAAAGCAATGTGTAGCTATTGTAAATATCTTACCCTGAACTTCATTTTGTCTTCTATTCCTGTTATAGGTATCATATTTTACCAGGAATTCCTTGGGGCAGCTTTTCTCACTATATTTATATATCTTTTTGGGTGAGTAACTGTCTCAGAGGTAGGGGATGTGAAATCCTGTTACTTTTTTGTAGGTTTTTTGGCATTGTACGTGAGGCGTAGAAAATTGGAAAATAATATAAGAAACATGAGTTTCCTGAGCTCCTAAAAGAAACATATTTTTCAACTTAACGCCCCACACAGGGCTGTGCCTCTGACTTTGTGATTTAGGTATTTCTCTGAGGGTTCTGAAACACTGGGGAGTTCTCAGTTCCGGGCAGTCAAGATGAATCCACTGGCCCTGGTAGCTGCTCCCTGACCTTTTTGGACTTTATGAGATGTACCTCGCCCTTGGAAACCCCTAGTTATATCTCAATCAGGGAAGCATGGATGCTTCTGGGATCATCTAGAATAAAGGCCAATGCTGATCCCCGGCTTTGGACCTAATAATATCAGCTTGGTAGCATCCCTTTCTTGTGTCTTGTGCCCAGATTTAACCCTTCCTGGAGATTTGGTGAGTATACTTGCCGACATTCTTGCAAACAGAGAGCAGAACTTTGACAGAGTATTGCCAGTGTATAGGATTTTCCATTGGTTCCAACTGGCACTCCGTTCATGCTTTGCTGCTTCTTCATCTTGTATTGTGCATGACCACTGTTATGCAAACTTGAGCCCACACTGGTTTCAGCATAGAAAACTATCTATCTTGAAAATTCAATTTCATAATGTATTTGGGCAAAGCTAACTTTCTGGGGTCTGGAAACTATGACTATTCTTATGGCCAAGGACAACTAAATTTCTTAGAAAATTAAGAATAAATTATTTTTTTGCTTGTGTTGCGTGCCAGTAATGGGTCTGGGCATGCATGGATAGAAAATGAGACCTAGTGTATACCCAAAGGGTTTAGAGCCTGAATTAGCCTCCAGATGCTAAAAACCTGGGGCAGAGATTTATTGGAAGCTGCCCAGGTCTTGGTTCTGGGGACAAATATTATTGGCTGCAGCAATTAAGACAAGTTCTAGGCAGCTTACCATGAGAAACAGGAAGAAGAAAACCAATGGAATTTATGTCATCATGTAGAATATGGAGCCCAGTTATTTAATACCATGAGTTTTTTCAGTGTTCTTGCGTTCTTTAATTAATATTTTTCTTACAGGTGTTTTCTGTCATTCCTTGGTGTGTTTTTGGTCACCAGAAATCGAGAAAAAGAACATCTGCCACAGTCTTACATTGATTTTGCAAATATTCCTGGTAAAATTGTATATTCTTTAATTTATAATAGAAAATTTTATCCTAATAAATTAATAATTGCTGGTATTATTTGGGGTGTTAATATAAAATATAATTCTTACCCTCAAAAAATGTGCATTTAATGATGAAAGCAGAGGTGATGTTTTAACTGTAAATGTTAATAATCATTTATTTGAATGACAGTTTTGCACAAAACTCTGGGGATATAAAAGAACTGACCCTGTTTTCTTGATTTGAGTGATGTTGCAAATTTCCTTTTCAAGTTTCTTTAAATGGAAAAAAGGCAGAGAAAGAAGCAGGGAATGGCTACCACAGCAGACCCCCTGCCACTTGGAGAGCACTTGAGGGAACATGTAAGGACAGAAGGGTAGGCTGCCAAGGAACATCCTTCCTGGGGAAGACTGAGGTGGCCTGTGCACTGTGGGGCCAAGAGTGACATTCTTCATGGTCACCTGAACATGAATGGCTTCTTCCCCTCCCCCCATCTCATTCGTCCTGATCAGTTTAACATACATCATCTCTCCAATTCCCCACTCTCACTGAGAAATAACTCGCTTTAGTCACGTAGACAAGAGAAGCAATGTCCAGAACAAAGAAAGCAGTCTACTGTGTCCTCACCTCCTCCGCTGCCCACCCATGCCCAACAATCTCCAGCTTTGCTGGGGATTTGGGGTGACCTATAGTTTTCTAGACAAGAATAGTGATGTTCTCACAGCTTCCTCCACCATGGTTTTTGAACCAAGCCTTTGAAGCAAAAGCCATTAAAGCCTCAACCCTATGACTGAGAAAATAGGGCCCTATGAATTCTGTGTTCTCGTTCCCATTTGAGACATCTTCAACTAAGAGCGTTCAATGCAAGAAGTGGCGTTCATGAAAAAAGTGTGCGTTATAAATGACTTGTATGGTTAGAGGTTCTTTAGTAGGAAAGAAAGTTTGCTTGTTTTTAATTCTATTTTTCATTTCACAAAGTGCCATACATTGGATCGGTAACAGCTTTCAAAGCCACTATGAAAGCCATTGTTTTTCTAGGTTGTTATATGTGTTAGACTAAACACAGAAAAGGAGACAGAACACTGCGGAGAAAGGTTCAGAGATGAGCGAAGGCTTCATTTTAACCTCCTGACTGATTCAACCTGATTTCTGTGCCCAGCAAAGTAGACCCTGTGGGATGGGGAGATGGCTCTCTCAGGTGGACAGCACATGACCACATATCAAGGGATGTGGAGTTCGATGGGCCTTTTCTTCCTTGAGGTTTATCTCTGCTGTTTAGAGGGTGACCACATAGTATAAAAAAAGGTACTAAAATGTGGCCTAGATTGAAGGGAAATTATTAAGACTTATTCTTCTATAAGAGCTCAAAAGATTTTTTATGATTATTATCTCCACAGGGAAACAAATGTTGGACAAAATACAACCAGATTCAAATGGCTTATCCTATGGAACTTTGCCTGATGGAAGTGACTCAACAAAGAGCCAAAGTGGAGAGAAGAAAGAGGTCTAAAATGCCGAGGGGGATGGCTGTTGGCCTGTTATTCGATACCACCTTTTTAAAAAATTGCACATGTTCAATTTGTGTCAGCAGCTATTTTATGCTGACATGTGCTCGCGTTAGTTTCAGTCATTTACCCCACCTCCATTTCTATGGACAATCAGGGCCTTCCTAAGCTTTAACAGTCTAATGTTTTCATGGAATATAATTTGAAGTGTTCCCCACACCCCAGACATCTCCCTGGTGATCATGTAACTGGCTAGATCTTAATTAGAGCCTGGCTCCCCAGGCAGGAATGTCACACAAAAATGTGCGTTCACGATTTGGCTAGAGAACACGTAGGTTGCTTTTCCCACACAGCTTGTAGTATCAGTTGCTTTGCTTTAAAAAGAAACACTTTAGCCCCACAACCTCACTCCTGAACCAAAGGTTTGAGAGCATTCATTTTTCCTAAATTAGAATGGTGAATCATCTCTTCAGAAAACTAGCCCTATTTGAACCATCCTTTGAAAATATTAGAATTTTAAAGAATGGCCTTCCTTGATAGAGTATACCAAAACTAAAAAACCTTGGCTGGTGGACTTTTTAAGCTTAAGAAAGGAAAAACTTAAGAATGAGGACCAATTTCTTTTAATAAAAATATCGAATGATAATGTCTTCTTTAGCTGTATGATCCATTATGCTTTAATTGAAAGTGAAGAAAAACCTCATATCCTATGCTTTTATTTGTTTAGATGTTATAATTTATCACATGGGTTTATATGTTTTAATTCTCAGCACATGTCAAGAATCATATTTGAATTCTTAGTGATGTTTTCAGTAACACACCATTTCTTCTTCAAGTCATTATTTCAAGATTTGTACATTCTTCTAGGTAAAAGGACCATTATGATTAAAGAACTGGATTTCAGGCATTTAAATCTGTAGATGCAAAACACAGCCAGGTGGTCCAACTTGAGTCTAGGGAGGAAGCCCAGTGCTCCTGTACCCTGAATGGCTTTTCTGCTGCCATTAGTCACAAATCTACTAAGATACAGGCAGAGTCCATAATCATATCTGTTACTTATGATCTACTTAATATTTAAATGAGAAGAAAAGAGCTAGCCTTCATTGTAACCAACATCAAATAATAAGCCCTATCCTTAATGACATTTCAGAACTTTCATATCACTCCCAGCATGTCAGCCCAATAATGTTTCAGCCAGTTGTCTTGCATTTGTGTGGTTGTTTAACTCAGAGCTGTTGACACTGTCATCCTAACTGCTTTGGGTCTTTTTATTCTGTTCTCTGTCATAACCTGCACTCCTAACCGGACCAACCAAACCTGGCCATAAGGTGAGATTCGAATTCATCACCAGTCTTTGAATAATAACCTGGAGCCCATGTCTGGCTTTTAAACTCCTGGTAACAATTCTTGCCATTGTGGAAAGTGTCCCATTAATTCAAATAAAACAGTCATATAATTTACAGCATGTTTTACTGAATTGGTCCAACATGTTGGCACTGGAAGGCTCAGCTAAGAAATGTGTCTGATGTCTTAAACTACAGATTTCTGGTGACTCTTAAAACTAGTTTCAAAGATTTGGAAAATAATTAGACAGAAGAGTTTTACTTGAAGTAGGACTACATTTATAGCTACAGCACGTGGTTTTGAGTATTGTAGAATTTTGCACAGACATAAGCATAGTGCCAGCACTTTAGTGGTCGCCAACATTTGCGTCTTTTAAAAGTTTTGAGAAATGACATTGATTATGCACATTTAAGCAATCCAGCGATACTTTCGAAGTCCAGATAACAAATAAAATATATTCAGACTTAATTTTACTTTCCATATTGCTGCTCCAAAGTAAGGTGAATAGGAGTTTTAGTTGTACTGGCTTGTAAAGATTGTTTAAATTACACAGTGCAGGGCAACAACCAAAGCCAACCCATTCCTTCTCTTGGCATTGTGAGTTGGGTACCTTTAGCCAACATGTGGCTCATCTGACTGTTTGTCTAGACTAGGGGTCTGCAAATTTTTCCTGTAAAGACACAGAGAGTAAGTATTTTGGGGTTTGTTGGCCATACATAGTCTGTCGCAGCTACTCAACTCTGCCATTGTAGCATGAAAGCAACCATTGACAATATGTAAATGTATGAGCATGTCTGTGTGCCAGCAAAACTTTATTTATGAAAACAGGTGGTCAATCCATGGGTTGTAGTTTGCCAACCCTTGGTCTAGACTCCTCTGCCCTTGCTACTCAGCTTCTTTCTTGTTCCTTGGGCATTCAAGAGTTTAAAAAGTGACACTTCATAGTTCATGACAAACTAGTTACTATGGGAGTGTGGAACCATATTTTGATATTTCCATTAGGATCTTGTTGCTTACATAAGATACAAATGGAAGCAAAGAGTTCATTATTGGTGCCTAAGTTTCTCTCTCTTGGAGGCAGTGATTCTTTTTTGAGTACCACTGACTATATTGGAAGAGCCTCTCCAATCCCACACTCCAAGTTGATAATAGCTTCAGAAATGAGTAGTCATTACTTCTCATGTAGTAGATTAAAGCAGAAGTCTTTACTATCTGGTTGTTTTCAGTTTAAATGTTTGCTTGCCCTATAATGATAATACTTTCATTACCAGAATCACTTGGAAAAAAATACAATAAAAAATTTCTCAAATATTGACTCAATGTACTTTTCAACCCCTCATTCCACACCCGTAAGCTCCTGGAGATTCTATTTTGTGGCAGAGAAAGGGAAAAGACAGATTTCATAGATTAGTGCAATTTTAGTGCTATTGAAGAGTAATGGTGATAATGTGCAAGTTTGGCTCCAAAAGAAGCAGGTGCAATGGTGGACATGACTCAAATGGATAGAAACATTGAGCCAAATTCCTGAAGCCAAGAACTCTCTTTATGCTCCTTGTTTCCAAGCACATGGCTCATCCAGGAAGGGTGGCTGTGTATGCTCGGCCACATCGAAGGCTGCTTCATGCTGCCAATTTAATAGTGATATTATGGACAGAAATGTAGCAGTTACTAAAATGAACTTTCTCAACACCCTTCCAGACTGCTCTACTTAAATTCTGTGGCTGGTTATAGAAGCAATCTTCAAATTGGGCATCTGCAAACCTAATGCACGTGTCTGGCACCAGTGAATATGAGTGCCCTGGTGAGGTTGCTAGATAAACACCACACATTTTGAACTTTTAGAACTAGGTTTCAGAATTGAACCCAATATGATTGTGTGGAGAATTTAAAAGCTGCTTCTAATCGTTAGACTCATCAACAGTCTGGCTCTTATTATGGCCATCTTGAAGTAAAAAAATAAAATTCCACACATACATGGTTTCCCTGCAAATATAGACCAGTCTTGGGCTATTAAACATAGTGTTTTAGCAATTGTGGTAAATGCAGGGAAGAGCCTTCCCACCCAGGAATTCTTGAGTCTGTCCCCTTTCTCACCAGCCTCAGGGTACCACACAACATGCTGTCCTGTGCCAGGAGAGCAAATCAGTTACAGGAGCTGCGGCCCATCCAAAGAAATACCTTTTTTTTTACTAGAAAGAGAGGAAACTCCTCCTTCAGTGTCAGTCCTTATTGACAGTTATGATTCCCAACCACAATGTAAAAGAGAAATATCAATCCCAATATCAAATAAATGTGGTGTTTCAGGGTGAACCCAGCTGGGCCAGATGCGGCCAAGAGTTTCACAGAGTTCCAGGCAAGATGCAAGATAGTCTCTGTGTTCCAGGAAGGAATCTCCTTCCCAGGGAGCTGGCAAGTGTGTAACTGAGAAGGAGCCCATCCGTCCCTGATGGGACCAGCATGCATGGACCAAAGCCACTTTGCACATTTGAGCTGCTGCTATCCAGACACGAGCTAATCCTTCCAGTGCGCACGCATCCTGCTTTTGGAGCCTTTTCCTTCATGGTTCTAATTTTAAAACCAACCTCAGCAATTTTCTGAGGCTTGGGCTCTACTCCTTCCATCCGAAGCACCTCACCTAAACCTTCTAAACACGAACAAGGAAATGAATCCACTCAAGAACTCTTGATCCAGGGACTCAAAGTTTGAGTTGTTTGCCTCATTATAGACTACTAAGCCAATTACCGCATGCCTCAAACTTAGCAAATATTCATTAATTCACTCAAACGTAATTGATCACATGCTATTTTCAATGTAGTGTGTTTAAAGTTATTAGGAATATAATAACAAATTAGACATGAAGACCAGCTCTTCAGGAACTTACTGTCTGGTCAGAGAAACAACAAATTTCATTGATTGAGCCCTTCCCACATGCCAGGCACTGTGCTAAGGCTTTCACTGAGGCTACTCATTTCATCCTCACAGTTTCTCTACCAGGGAGCTCATTAGCCCTACCTTACAGATTAAAAGCCAGGGCAAGAGGTAGGGCGGGGACTAGGGTAAGGAAGAGGGGCGTCTAGGGCACAAAATGTAAGGAAGCTCATGGAAATCCCACTCTTGGGGTGATGGAAGGGCTGACCCTACACTTGCAGGGCCCTGAAAGTGAGTGCTTCCTTAAATTTTGTGCTCTAGGTACCTCACTGTGTCCTGGCAATAGCAAGAGGTGTTAAGTGACTTGACCAGTGCCATTCAGCTGGCAAGTGGCAGAGCTGGGATTTGAACCCAGAGCATATAACTCTGCAACCCACATTTTTCCCAGTCGTATGAAAATATCTACACTGCACAATAGAACTTCAAAAGTGCCTTAGGAGACTTGAATAAAGGGCATGGGAGCCCAGAGGGGAGAGATGTCACTTTTGGCTAGGGGATAGTCTTCAAAGGAATTGGGGATTGTAGCAGACTGAATGATGGCTCCCCAAAAGATAGGTCCACCTACTAAGCCCTGGAACCCATGAATGTGAACTTATTTGCAAAAAGGGTCTTTGCAGATGTAATTAAGGATCTTGAGATGATAGCATCCTGGACTACCTGGGTGACTCCTAAATGCAATGACAATTGTCCTTGTAAGAGACAGAAGAGGAAAAGACATGAACACACAGAGGAGAAGACCACATGAAGACAAAGACTGAGATCAGAGTCATGAAGCCACAAGCTAAGGAAAGCATGGAGCATCTCGAAACTGGAAGAGGCAAGGAAAGGTTCTGCCCTGCAGCCTTTGGAGGAAGCACAGCCCTGCTGACACCTTGCTTTCAGGCTTCTGGCCTCCAGAACTGTGAGAGAACAAATTTCTGTTGTCTTAAGCCACCAAGTTTGTGGTAATTTGTTGTGGCAGCCCTAGAAAATGAATACAGGTATTGAGTTGGTCTTTGAAGGAATCTGGACATAGGAGGAAGCCCATGAGCAAAATAGAAGCTGAATCACTCAGAGTAAGCTTGGGAAATGTCTGTAATGTGGTGTAATATGAAAGGATGATAGGACAAGAAAGGCAGGTTAGAAGGCCTTGAGTGACCAGCTCTGATACAGACTCAAGAGTTTGGGTTTGATTTGGGAGGTAAATGATGGCATTAACTTAATTGCTGGGGGTACAGGGTGGACCTAAGGACATAATCAAAAACTCACCTATCAGAATTTAATGACATTTCCCCTTTATCTTTTCTAGTCATTCACTGTCAATATTAGATGGCATAATAAACATTCAAGCAATAATGATTGAATTCAATGTTTGTGGCATATCACATCCTACCAGAAGTGACCAAGTGTAGCAAGGTCATAGGCTGGACAGTGACCACTGAGATGGCCTCAGGCAGGAAATCTATGCCCAGAGAAGGATGCACTAGGCCAACCAGAGCCACACTCTCCAGAACGTGAATTGGGAAACGTGGAGAGAGTCAAGGAGTTAGGAGTGGGGGCTGAAACTGGATGGCTTCCTAGAGAGCTGTGAATGTACAAGGGGACAGCTACGGGCCACAAGCAAGTATTAGTAAGTAAACTGAAGTTACAGAGAAAACGGAATCATGACAGAAAAAGAGCTAAGAGCCAAATCTGTTGGCAGAGGAACGGGAAGTAAGCAGATCCTGCAAGAGAAGCAGACGCTCGGAGAGGGACCGACCAGGACAGCTGCTGTGACTCAGATGCCCAGGTGTGGAGCCCACCTCCCCGGCTCACGGGCATGCCTACAGTGACAGCCAAGCCCTTCTCCAGCTGGCTGGGGAGACTATCTGTTTCTGGCCACCAGAAGAGCCTGGTTTCTCCTGGGGTTCATTGGGTTTCCAAAAGATATTAGTTAAATGGGGCCACTAGGACATGAAGGGAAAGGATGAGCCCATTTGAGAAATGCTTCATGAAAAACACGAGGCTGTTCTTTTGAGAATTCAAATTTATAGTGCAGAACTGTTCAATAGAGTCCATAACCGACAGTGGACAGTCTTTAGAAAGGAAACAGAAGAAGGTGGACCCAAGAAAATGACCAGAAGTCCCTGGTAGAGCCTAGGCTTAATATTAATGAACATCGTAACCTCGTTCTTTTGTAAAGGTGTAATCCTGATATGTGGTAATTTAAGGACCGCCGAGACATCTGCTGAGTGAGAGAGGGGAGGAAGAAGGGAGTGCTGAGGGGGACAGGAGACTTAATGTGAACACTTTCCAATGCAGAGAGAAAGGTCAGCGACCCCCAGTCGCACAGACAGAAGAAACTCCAGAGCACTCAACAGAAAAAGGGCCATTTAAACACTTCTTTCCTCGACTCACCATTCACCAGGGAATGCAGATCTGAGCAGGTGGGCCTTAGAGCAAACCAAGCGATGCACAACCACCCCCTCACCCCCACATCCCCACTGCCACTGCCCCGGCTCTCACTGCCCCCCTAGGCCAAGCTGGGAATTCCTAGTGCCAAGTTTGCGCTGCCTTCAGGAATGGTTTGGGCATCCCTATGGACCCTGTCTGCCATGGCCACCTTCTCCCTTAGGTGTGGAGGTCTCCTGCTGTCAGGCGGGAGACTGAAGTCCTGGGTGTGAACACGGACATCCTCTTTCTCAGCTGCTGATGGGAAAGCAGCCTTCTGCGGAGGAGCACAGAAATCTGTCCCAGGGCACAGGCATCTCCTCACTCGTCGTCACGCAGGCCTTCTCTAAGGCAAACCGCCTGCCCTGCCCAGGCGAGGCCCAGCCTCCCTAGGTCTCTGCAGGGAAGAACCGGGTCCAAACAGCTGAGGAACGACGGCCTTGGCACCGCCTCCTCTTCTACTTGTTGTTCACTAAGGAGTTCTGTGGAAGCCAGACTTATTTTCCACTGAAGCTAGGGAAAGTAAAGACAACACCAAATAAAAATAGATTCCTGGTGTTTCCTGTTTGCACAGCACTGTTTCCCTCGGCACAGGCCAGGGGCTTCGATGGACATCTGGATAGAAAAACCCTCCAAAGAACACTGAAAAGTATGATTTCTTTCTTCCATGTTTCTACTTCCTTCCTTTTGTTGTGTGCAGGTTTATTTGGGGGGTCTGCTGGGTTAATCCCCAAATCTCCTTTCCCTAGTTCTGTTTAGAGGGACACAAATTGCCGGGCACTTGTCCTCCTCTGCTGACCCTGTCTTCCATTTATAAAGCAGAGTTCATTATTTCTGCCCACTGGGCCTCAGAGAGAAGATGTAGGAGAAAAGGTGGGTGACACAAACGTAAAAGGACCGTGGACAGAGGGGGCTCTGTGGCCTGGCACAAAGACTTCACATTCTTCTTCAGAATAATGTGCAGAGAGAACGGAGTCG